AGAACTGTATGATCTTCATAGCAACAGAGAACAACTCAGGGGTGTAACAAGTAGTTGCAACTATCGCTTGACCATACCATTTGCCCCCCATCTCTTTGGCTCGGGCAAAACGACCTTTGCCCGAACCTATTTGGAGTTGGTGCAAAGGTTTGGTGAAACTTCCCTGTCGACGTTTGCTTCAGACCCTTTGAAGAGAACCTTTTTGGAGAAGCTGAAAAGGGCTTCATTGCTTTATGCGGATTTAAAGGAGTTGAAGCCCACAGACCCGAAAGAACGAAACCTTGAGTGGGCAGTCTACTATTTGTTAATAAAGGCTGCTTGTCTGCAATCAGGTCTTCCGCAACCAGACCCGGACGAATGTTTCAAAGAACTGAAACTTAGGAGTGATGCTTTGGTTCAGAAAATCCGTTCAATCTTAAACACTCCTTCCGATCAATATCTTTTGGTGGCATTTGATGAAATTGGTGTCCTAGACGAAAGTCTCGACGAATTTCATTTCAAGAGAACCCATGACGGTAGAGTTCGACCTTACAATGACTTTTTCGGCATCATTAGTCAATTGTGCGAAGAACCCGACTTGTTTTTTATAGTTGTTGGGAAAAGCAAGGGTTTAAGTATTAAGAATGATGTAGCTTTTGGGCTATCAAGAGTTATACTACATTTTATCCCTTTATCACCTTTGGACGCTTCCAGTATCGTTGAATTCCTTGAAAAGAGTCTTCTAAAGACACCTACTCAAGAACCAGTTTGTAATGTCTTATGTAGTTCTTCATTTTCAGTAAATGAATTGGCAGATTCGTTATTGGAATGTACAGGTGGAGTTCCTGGTTTGTTGACTCGTGCAGTAAATATGCTTTTGAATTATATAATAGCAAGAAGTCAGCCTTTCATATCGAAAGAAGAATGTTTGACTTGTATGAATGACTACGATTTCCGAAGAATTTGTGCTGAACCATTTGTGGAACGAATATTGAATTTGGACGAAGATAGAAAAAGTGTTTTTGATATACTTTTGATGATGGCACTTTATCGTATACCGTTTCAAGTAGATGACATATTGACCTCGGAGTCCTTTTTATATGATGCCGTAACTGAAATGGGATTATATCGATATCCTATTGACGAGAATACTTTTCAAGTCCTAATTCCGAAAGTATTTGTTGGAATCTTCAAGAACGACCCTTCCATATCTTCTTTGGAAAAGATACTTCTCGAATCACTTGATGTAGAACCAGTAGATTGTTTCTTCTATTCAAAGTGTCGTGTATTTGAAGGAATTGTTGCTTTACGACTAGTTTTGATGTTGTCTTCAAAGAATCGAAATGAGTTGAGGGAATTGTTGTGTCAATTGTCTCCAATATGGAAACAAATGAAACTTCCAATCAGTACAATATCACCTATTCACTATATCAAGTCTGTTGTTAGTTCTAGAGAAACAAAAAGTGAATCGAACAAGAGTCGAAGAACTTTTGCCAATACCGAATGGAATAAGATTATTCGAGAAACACTTTATTTAGAGACTATTTACATTCCTTTGGACGCTACTTCTCATAGCCCTGATATTATATTCCAATTACAATCTCCTGTGGAACCCAAAGTTCTTACTGTTGGAGTTGCATGTAAAGGACGTTGGAAGTCGGAAGGAATTGGCTGGTCAGATATTATAGATGAAGCCAAGAAATTTTTAGATCCTGTTTATGATCAAGTCTTATCCAGTGCAATGGATTATCATCATTGTATGCTTATTATCGTTAGTACAAAGTTATTATTGAATGTTTCTAATGAGTTGGGTAATCAGAGTCGTTGTTATTCCAGTGGAATGTTTATTGGAAATGATTCTTTCAAAGTACCTGATAATTGTGAACTTGTTATTCTTTGTGAAAGAGATATGGAAATGCTGATTGACGACGAAATATTGAAAAGGCATTTAGTGTTTCTAATAATCCCACTTTTTTGAACTTTGGACTCCAACTGCTTCATAGAGTCCGTAACAGTTTCTTGAGTTGTCAATAATAGGCTTTAGATTCTCAATTCAGTCCTTAACTTTGTGACTTCTTTGGAGTAGTGAGTGGTTGGGAATGCACTACGGCTATGCTGAAAAGTTACGAATCCAAGTCAATGGAATGTTGCTACTTTTCCTCGGTCATCGTTCGTGTCACACAGGTGCAAGTGTGGCCGCTATGATTGAGAAGTTAAAAATGCCTAATGTTGAATCATCCATAGTACATCGAAGGGCACGTTTGTTTGTAAAAGGTTCCAGCATGAGTCCTTAGATTCGCTGGATGATATCTTGATGACATCTTGTCTACCTGTCTGTAAAGAATCCAGTTGAAGTAAGGAAAATCGTTCGTAGCTTTTTACGCCGTATTTCCGATGACTTTTGGAATGCTATTAGTCGAAATGATCGGGGAGCTGCACGTTGTAAGACAATGATTCAACAGTGTATCTAAAATAATCTGTATAGTTGTAAATTGAAAATACGCGCGCGTCATGGGCAGTTGGTTTTATGAAGGGTTTAGTTTGCTGGACACCCGGCACATTATTTCTTATCAAATTTCCTATCCCCTTGATAGTTTGGGTATGAAATAGCTTTGCCGCGCTCGAGTGGATAGCTTATATCATTCTTGATATTTAGTACGAGAAGTTGTCTTACCCAAATTTTATTTTTACTGCCGGCCCATGTGCCAAGATAGTAAACCTGAGACTCTCTTTCACATGTTTGTGAAATGTAGTTATTGGAGTAGTTTTAGAAGACAGTTTTTAGCATCAATTCTCGAATGTATTGCTGCTTTATTGATTTTCGAGCCAACTAGTCATTGCATGAATCAAGAAGCTACAGAGGACCAACTAGTAAGCTGTCTGCTCAGTGGCAGACATGTTCGCTGCAGAGATACGAACTGTCACCAATTACTTGATGATTATCTCAAGTTTTGGGTTGGTCGTTGTGCATCTTCATCGTTACTTGCATCTTCTGACTATTCAAGACAGATGGAAGACAGTCCATCTCTGCGGCACCAGGATGGATATTTCTCAGCATGTGGAATAATATACCCTCAGGTATTCCTGGGTAAATTCTTCTTGCCCATTAATTGAGCTATATTATGTCTTTGCGCATGTAAGTGTTATCTGATTTGACTACCCCGAGCCCAAGCCCTGAAGGGTATGGCACAGTCATTGAAACCACAAGTTGGCATTGTTTGACTACTTGTTGTGACTGGGGAATAATCATTGCTTGTTTTCTATTATTCATAATAACTGAATTTTGTTTGGAAATAAACATTTGACTGTTCATTGCAAAAAAACTTCACTGGTTGGACACTTGGAATAAACTATAGTCAGAGAAATCAAACTTCAGACGGCAGAACACCAAAAGTTTAGACGGCCCTGGTAGCTTGTACTATGTCGTAGGCAATTTTAGACTTCTATTAAAGACAAAAGCCATGGAATAACGTCTTCCTCCCAAGAAACTAAATAGATAAATGAAATAACAAGTATTATAAAGAGAAGCTTCTCTTCGGTAATGAGCAAACTACTTATTAATGAAGTTGAGACAGTCGATATTTTTTGCACGAATGAGGGGATATATGGGCGACGTGAGGTACAATCCAATTCTTCTAGAGAATGTGGGCCGGGCAATTTCAACCAATTACATTTCAGAAAAACTTGGAAGTTGATAATTTAGATGAAAGGTCCCATAGACAAACTGCCGAATTTTTGTTAACTGAAAACGGAGTGGAACGCTTACACTTCAATTATCTTTTTATTTGTGATAATTGCACAGAGATGAAATTGTCTAGTGAAATACAACCCAGCTCGTTCAACAATGACCAAGCAAATAATATCAATAGGGAGAAGTATATAGAAGACCTCGAGATTGCAGGCCAGTCAGAATATCCGGAGGGAGAAACGGAGTTCCAATATGAAACGGAGAAGCAATCTGCAGGAGAGAACTTGGAAGATGTTTTTGAACCACCAAGGAGAACTCACTGGGTGATGACCACATTTTTAATGATTAGTTATCTGATCGGAGTAGGAGTACTTTCATTACCTTCTGCCTTCGTCTCTCTTGGTTGGGTACCAGGAGTGTTGCTGTTGACCGGTATCGTTTTTATTACTACAGTTACAGGCTTATATATGTGGAAGTTACATTTGAAATATCCACATATTCGGAATTATGCAGCCATGTACTATCATTTCTTTGGACGAACTGGTCAAATAGTTGGTGGTACTCTGACTTATCTCATGTTTTTTGGCATTATGACTGCAGATTTCCTTACTGCAGCACTTTCATGGAAGAGTCTCTTTCAAGGGCATCATGTTTGTGTCACCGTGTGGTTCGTTATACCTTTTGTCGTTGCGTTAGTAATTGGGCAACTACGAAGTCTGCATGGTATCTCCTGGGTTGCATTTGTAGGAGCACTTTGTATTTTTCTTCCTATTGTGATGACTTGTAGTAAAGTTCCCGAACTTTCAAAAGGTGCACACGCTTATACAACTATTGCAGGGAATAGTTTTGTCAATGGCGTAGTTGCTATGACTGATATTGTATTTGCATTTGCTGGTCATTTGATTTTTTATGAATTTATGGCAGAAATGAAGAATGTGCATGATTTTCCAAAGTCACTGCTTGTTTCGCAGTTGGTTGGCTTCGTGTTTTGCATGTTTACGGCTGCATTTGTTTACGTTTACTTGGGTAATACACCTATTTTAAAGAGTCCAGTAACTCTGAGTCTCCCTCATGATAGATTGCGTGATGCTATCAACGTTATCTTAATTATCCATGTAACAGCTCCAAGTGTAATGGGCGGAAATGTTTTAACTCGAGCTGTGCAACGTTGGTTACAATGTTGGGGTCGACGAAGATTTGAAGATACTTCTCTGTCACAAAGGATTTCATTCTTCTTCTGGTCTCTATTGGTTTATGGCTCTGGTTTCCTTGTTGCTTGCGCCATACCGTTCTTCAATGAACTGATTGGACTTCTTGCTGCCTTGATTGGTTCTAGTAATAGCTTCGGTATGCCTGCTATTATGTATTTGATTCAGTTCCATAAGAGTACTAGCTGGTGGAATTGGATATTAGCATTATCTTGCATTGGCATAGGATACGCACTACTTGGGATAGGTAGCTATGCGGGAGTCTATACAATAATACAAGCAGTTGGAAATCACGGAACTCCGTTCTCTTGTGATAGAGTTATCTAAAAGAATGGGCAATTTGTGAATTTTCTGTGTGAAATAAATTGTTGAATGAAACGCGACATTTGTCATATCGCCAATTTGTTCAGTTTGAAAGGAATTCATCTAAATGCTTCCTGGATGTGTTAACTCTTTACATTTCTTTCCTTTTAGTATATTTTTGTTATTTTGTTAGGAATTTGGTTCTACCTTTAATCCATAGTTTCGCAAGATTGGCAATGTTTGTCTTTTTCTATAGCTACTCCTTTCTCGTTCTATTCCGACCTATAGAGACGTACGATTGATATGTCTGCCAATCTATCGCGTTTGAGAAATGTAGAAGTGCGAGGATTTCCAACTAAACTGTCAAATTAATATGAGAAGCTCTAATTTATTTGTCTTTACTTTTGAAATGTTTCTCCTATTAATACGAACTATATCTTAAAAACAGCTCTACGCATGTATTTGAAATATGGAACGAAGCCTTCTCAACACTACAGATACGGAAAGCGAACATTGGGGACATCTAACTGCAAGGCCATGTTTAACTAGAATGGCCAAAAAGCTGTATGATATTAGGATGCAAAACATACAAACAAAAAGTGAAGACAGTGATAACCAAGTAGGCTGGATGAAGGAACTCTGAAACAACCAACTTTTGCTTTCCACTAAATACAGCTACAAATGGAAGAACATTTGTTTGTTCTTCCAATTCAGTCCATTCCTCTCCATACTTACTTTTCAGACGTTGATCTCCGTGCCACGCACCAAAAAAATGATAAGATACAAGACATAGAGACGTTACTACTGAAAAAGATGAACCCAACCATAACATATGACCAATGCACCATAAGATCTGACCCCACAACTGAGGATGTCTAGTAATTCGCATAATTCTACGAAGACTACCTAAAAACCAAAACCATAGAACAATGTAAGCACCTACCCTTCCCCAAAAAGATGCAGCTCAGGCTTCTGAATCGCTGCTATTTCAAGTAGACGAAAAGTTCCCGGATACAAGAAATAAAAGGAAATGAACGACAGCAACCACACCAGCTCATGAATACCTGGAATATTTCGAATCTGCCATAATATAATACCATCATATCGGTGTGTTACGAAGTAACCTATCATAACCACAGCCAAAGGAAGACTGGAGACAGCAAATCCTATTCGATAAAGTCGCTCCCCCAGAAGTTTCGTGACCGACGGACGCAAAGAGGCCAAGCCACTATGAACTGTTGAAAACAGCACTTGAAGCCCGATAATAGTATAGTGCGAAGTATATTTATCCAAAAGTGTCTGGAAGTTCGAATTAAAAGATGTGTTGGAGTCAAAATAAACACAAACAACAGGAAACAGGCAGGCAGATGCAGAAAGTAAAGCAGAGACATACAAACACCATTGAGACTTGATAGCGTCAGAAGTGGACTCGCTTTTCAAGGACACAATACAAACTCTTCTTTCTGAGCACTTGTTACAATTCGCTTGAACGCCCACTCTCTTAGTGGCAAGAAAAGAACAAGAACCCACTGGAGATAAGAAAACTCCAGCTCTAAACAAGGAATCTTTACTTATATGGCAATGCAGTTTCCTTTGAAAACAGGAGGCGATCTTACGATTGCACTGACAGAAACAATCCAAGAAAGCCATAATATGTGGAAGGAATTTGATGAGGAAGTGAAATCAACAAATTTATGTCCGCTACAATAGAAAGCAATAAAGTCTCTTCTTATCTGATAAGTTTTACTCCTAAAGATAATTATACTTTTCAGGAAGGTCTGGAAGAGACTTTTACGGTCAAACAGCCATTTTTAAAGCGTGCCTCGAACAAGGTTGACACAGTGTACAGTTGGGACCACGACAAAGCTCTTCTTTTTGTTCAAGTTTTTAAGCCTTTAGCACGAAGCGCATTACTGGGCTATGATTCTACCATCATGCTGTTAGGCTCAGAGAATGCAGGAATGACTCTTTTACTGGAAGGTAAATGTATCTTTCTTCAAGAAATTTTAGAAAATGCCTAAAGCATACGGAAAGGGAGAGAAAACACTTTATTCAACACACTTGAGTATCTATTTTCAGAGATAAGAAAGGAAAGTGAGGAAAGGCTATTGTTTGTGTCATGTTTCGAGACAGTGGGGACCACACTGGTAGATTATGTGGGAAATTATTTAGGCGACAGTGCACGATATTCTTATTCTGTTTCAAAAACATCAATCTCTCTCCTAAGGGTAGAAGATACTGGAAAGGATATGCAAATTGCGAAAAAGATAGTTTCAGAAGAAAGAAGAAATAGAAAGCGTCAATTTGTGGTGCAGGTTCTTGTCACTTCAAATTCTCACCCAGAGTCGGGTGAATATTTTCTATCAGGCATTAGTTTTATTCTCTTTTCAGATTGCGACTCTGTTGTGGTAAGTAGAATATGGAGTTATAGTTGACACGTACTAAGTGTAATAAGGAACGCCTTAGTCAGCTCAGTTCTTTGAAGATTGATCCTTGCTCAGAACCTTCTCGTGTACTCTTTTATCCATTTTCTACTCAAAACGTGAACGAGCTCATTTTAGACCTTGTTTGCTCTGCTTTAGGAGGAAATCGTCTCGGTGCAATCTTGGTTTTGGCCAATTTGCAAGACTTGAGTAGAAACGTTATCGAGTCCTTGTTATCCTTTGCATCTTCGCTGTGCCGTGTGGAAAACAACCCGACTCAAAGTATATTGAAACTCCGTGTTTCGTTAAATTCACATAGAGAAGTCGTATCTCATCCGAGACTTAATAATTTAGATAGCCGTCTTAACGAGGCACAGTTGGAAATTGATCAAGCTAAATACAAATTTGGCGTTACGAGAACTCGAAGACCCACTCCCAGTTCTGCCACTTGGAAAAGCTTTCTCAAGTCATTAAAGATCATGCCTTCTGGGGAGTCATATCGAAGGTTGGTGCCGACCTCCATTTGAGCCTTATTGCTAAAAAGTCTAGTAATCCAACGTCACCTGCTCTTTCTCCAACACCTAGTCCAGCTGATGAACTTGAATATGCCAGTCGAAACCAATATTCAGAAAATGCTTCTGAAGATGGCCGTGACTTGAGATACATTCATTTAGCCTCCCGAGAGTCTACTTTTCACAAGGTATTGAATGACAGTTTATTTGCCTTGTTTATGACGCCCTTCAATAGTGCTTCAAATGCTGTCTTCCAAAAGCAGTGTTTAACGAATTTCGTAGTATATTCGATGTTTCTGAGTCTCCTTGAATAGTTCAAATGGAATGGATTTGTATATCTAAGGGAAGGGTTCTATTAGGAAAATGTACAGATGTATGCAGTTACTTTCATAGTATTGATTTGAGTGAATGTATACGTTTTTGTAAGTTTGTAAAAATTGCTGCAGAAAAGCTGCAGACATTCTTGGCACAGAATATTTACTTATTTTCAATTTTTTGACAACAAAGAAGCAACTAGTATTATTCCATGTTCAGATGTACATGTATGAAACAGAAACTTTGTATATAACAAATCAAAGGTTCAAACATTCACTCAGAATGATTCTGTTCGTAATCATATAGAATTTCGCTAAGTAAACACTCGTCGTTATCTACTGATGTTAAAAGATGCTTATTAAATACACCATTTGGCATCAAAAACTGCGCCATTCTGTCTATTGCTACGACAGCCAACACCGTTTGTACGTAGGCATCAATCAAATCGTCTAAACCCAAACCAAGCGAATTAAAGTCCCTTCGATCCATTAACAACAGTCTTTCCGGCTCACTACCAAAAGTCCCATCTTCCATTTTTATACTAAGGTTTGTTCCCAACATGTCCCAAGACTCTGTTCCTTCCTCAACTTGTTTGGAAAGAGGTTTCTTAGCACGTCTGGCATACAGTCCTACAACTTTAAAACCATCTTCTGAACCAGAAACCATCATTCGAAGATCAAAAACATGAATATTACCACGTTTATCAGGTATCGTTCCCATATGAAACAGTCGAGTACCTTCATAAACGGAACTCCACTCGTGATTGCTTATCAAGCTTTGTACAATGAAGTTTTGATATTTTACTTGTTTCAGTTCGTCTCGTAAGCGTAAAAATTCTGCCTTGGAAGTTATCGTGTAAACTCCTTGTCCAGCATTACTGTAGGGGATCTTAATTGCAGCAAATCCTCCCAGCTTGTCTACCCATGTCTCTAATTGTTCAAATTCAACGTCCCGAATGGTAAGTGGAGTTCGGATCTCTAATCCAGATGCCATCAATTCTACATTATAATTATCATAAGCCTTAGCAGCCACTAACTTATTCCGTCCACCTGCTAGACATGCAATGATAGGATTCATAATAATGGTTCGGGTATTTACAGGAATACGGTTCCAAGGACGCTGAGTGACATATCTTAAAGCACCGCGAATAGGAACCCATTTTCCGGTCGGAATTTTCACGTACATAACTCCACGTTCGAATCTTACTGTTTCCTCCTTTGCATTTTCCATAAAAGGAACCAGGTGCACGCACTCTCCTGTCAAACCAGCCAACGCTGAAGCATAACCAGAAGCTTCCATAGGATTTTTATCATAAACTACAGCCAACTCTCCTTCAGGAATATCTGCGTCGTTCCTTTTCAAATAGGGAAGAAAGGAACGCTGAAGTAGCACACGATAACCTCCTTCTTCCTCCATTTCTTCATACAACGGCGTAGACTTGTTTCCACTTGGACAAGTATTGGTCTCGATGATAACCATACTCTTCTTGTTGTTGTTGTTGGTTGTATGCATAAGATCACAACCTGCCCAACGCAAATATCGAGGATTACAAGAAAGAACTTCGTCTAAAGTATTTGCGTCAACAAAGGGATGTGTATGACAATACCGACTAACTATCCTTTCTCTCGAGAGACCGAGAAAATAACGCACGGTAGGGTGAATTTGTGAGTTTAAAACCCTGGGATAAAAGTGTCTTTCCACCTCGAAGCTTCCAGGGGTTACCAGTTGATATACGTACTTTCTTGGGGGAGTAGAAGCAGTAACTGTATGAAGTTCAAGTTGTTTCAAGTCTTCATGTATCAAAGTTTCCGCCATTTTCGGGTTTTCCCAAATTACAAAATCTCGTAGAGAATCTTTGAATTTCAACATTGACCTGAGAATCCTCCAGCTTCGGTATAAATAAAAAGGTTGGAACATCAGTTTGAATAGCGTAAATATTCTTACATCTTTATTGTGCTAATTTTAATAAATAAATTTTTTCAATAGCATAAACGAAGACAAGAAGAGCGATAGAAATGAATGACTCAATCGCTTTTCACAATAGTAATCTTATATAGAACATCCTTTCGAGGAAGTTCAGTTGGGGGATGGAAGGTCTTTACTTGGATGCCAGGAAGTTGGTTCTTGAGTCAAGAGACCTTCTGGACTCCATTGAAACTGGTCGTGAGAACTCAACTCAGTGTCAGACTTATCTTTCTCAGAAAATAAACCGTTTGACACGCACTTTGCAACAGCTTTCAACTTTGGCCTTAAGAGAGCCCTCTTCTCGCAGGGAGGCCTGGCAATTGTCAGTATACGTTCTCAACAAAGGTTTTAAGTTTTTTTTAACTGAATAATAGAAAGATTGATAGACTCAATAGCGACAGCTTGGACATTCGAGCAGCCTTCGAAAACTATCTAAGTAGATCCTACACCGCAGCTATTCAAGCCAAAGAAAGAGAGGAACTTTTGGATAGATACAGTGGAAAAGACACTTCCATCGTGATTGATTCCTTTCAGACAGAGTCACAGTCTCTACACCGTTCAAACGTGACAACAGAGGGAATCTTGGGGATGGGTCAGGCGACACTACACGCTCTCTCGCTTCAGCGTTCGAGACTCAAGGTATGTGATATTTCCCTTATTTTTCACCAAAGAATGACCGCTATTGTTTAATTAGGGAGCGAAGAAAAGGATGTTGGACGTAGCTAATGTGTTAGGAATCTCACACTCGGTAATTCGCATGATTGAAGGCAGGGAGAAGGTTGATGCCTATATAGTTTACGGAGGAATGTTCTTTATAATTCTCATTGTATTCGGAATCTATATTTGGAAGAAAGTCTACGGATAGCTTTGTCACGGGAGTTGGCTATCAGGGAATAGTCTTTGGATCGCATATGGCTTTGGCAATTAGATCTTCAAGCAACCAGTCTTTCAACACTGTGTTTGAAAAGTGGTTGTTCAGAAAGTTTTGTAAGGAGTGCTTGTCTCGCTGGTTGTTTTTGTTGTGTGACTTGGCGTCTATTTTCTACAAGGCAGTTCTAAAGTCAAAGGCAAAAGCTTTTCCGAGTTTGAATGATTTCTGGACTATCCAGTTATCCAAAGATTATTTAAAAGTTTTGTTCACAAAACTTAACTATTTCGTGTTCGCTTCCCAGACGAAGGAAAGTAGTCGTCCATATTGGAATCATCATAAGCCCGTTTGTTCCCAGATTTGGAAATCTTCCTTTTCTTCTTAGATGCTTTTTTCACCTTCTTACCAATCTTCTTTCTCGAATATTTTTCTGCATAGTCTTCATTCTCTTTCTCTATAGCCCGTATGAGCATATCTACCCTACGGCGTAGCTCCAGCGGTGTTCGAGACTAGAAAGAGCATAAGTCCCTTGTTTGAAAAATGAAACAAGGCATCTACCTTGATAAACCAATCAAACCGAAACTGCCAGGCTTTGCGGATCTCCATCTTCAACTCTTCCCATCGTCCATATCCAAGTTTGTATGTCATACAAACTAGGAAACGATCTTCTTCTTCCGTAAACCCTTTCCCCTTGTAGGCTCCATATGAAATTTGAAGTTCTCTCAAGGGATCTGTATACCGTGATACCTACTCAAGATATCTGAAAAAATATTTCTTGTCTCTACAAAGGAAAATACCTTCAACTTCAATGCCTCCTCCATTTCTTCACGACGAGCAATCCTTGCTTCTCCTTCTTCAATTGCTCTTCTAATCTTTCCAAACTGATCGATTCTTTCAGGTCCATACTTCCAAAATGCTTTAGCGTATTCTTTGACTTCCTTTACTGACTTGGAACCTATCTCTGCTGCAATAGTTTCATAAGCTTCTCTTCCATGCCTTTCACATCCACGTACAAACGCTTGGAATTCTCGTCTACTCCAATTTCCAAATCCTTCCGATAATAAAATTTGTTTTTCTTGTTCCTTATCGGCTGGAAGAAGTTCAGGGACAGGCGGAGCTTCCTTTCCTTGCTTCACTGCCTCTTCTGCAACCTTGTTATATTCATTAACCGCCCTCTTTTCTTCCTCGAAAATTTCTTGTAGTCGTTGTGCATCGAAAAATTGAAAGTCATGCAATGTTGGCTCCTTGGGAGGCTTTAGTCTTTGTTTAGGACGCTCAGAAGTAGAACGCGAGGCATTATGTGATGACTGGCGTAAATCACTTTCCTCGTAAATCTTTCTACGCTCACGTTTACCCACATCCAAAAAGAAAGTGTTGTTGGTATTCGTTCTCTTTCCACGATAGTCTTCACCTTCGAACTGATACACCGATGTGGAATCAGAAAGACTAAATTGAAGCATGTTGAGTCCATTAGTTTCTGCTCGTTGATCCAACTCCTCCTGAATTTCTCTGGTCTTCGACTCTCCTCGTGAAAGAATTTCATCAAGATCTTCATTTCTATAGTCTGCAGCGTCCACACGAAAAAACTGATCTGCACCATATCGAATCATATCTAAGAGTTCGTCCTTGCCCAACTGTTTCTTCTGATCAACAAGTCTTCCCTGTTGAATTACGAGTGAATCTAACTTTAGCTTCTCTAGTGCCTTGCGCAAAATCCTTTCTTCAACAGTATTCTCGGATATCAATCGATAAACATTGACAGGATTTTTCTGACCGATACGATGTGCTCTATCCATTGCTTGAAGGTCAACTTGAGGATTCCAGTCTGAGTCGTACAAAATTACCGTGTCTGCTGCTGCCAAGTTGATTCCCAAGCCACCAGCCCTAGTACTCAACAAGAAAATAAACTTATCCGAGTCTGGTCTATTAAATTCCTCAATCATTGAATCTCGGATTTCTCCTTCTGTATTTCCATCAATACGACAATAAGGATAGTCTCGCATATTTGGACTACAATAGTCTTCTAAAATGTCGAGCATTCTCGTCATCTGACTGAAGATCAAAACTTTATGATTTCCTCGCCGAAGTCGTGACAAAAGTTTGTCTAACAGCATCAACTTGCCACAAGATTCTATGACGTGTTCACCAAAAGGATCCAAACTACGATCTTCGACGCCATCAAAAAGATAAGGATGGTTACAACACTTTCGCAACTGCATTAAAATGTTCAGCAAACGAACACGATCTCCACCAGGACCATTTATTGCATCAATGTCCTTTTTCAAAAGATTTCGATAGATATCCAGTTGAACACTTGATAGCTTTGTAAACAAAACCGTCTCCTTCTTTGGAGGAAGGTCATGTTCTACTTCAGACTTCAATCTTCGTATTAAAAAGGGCCGTAAAACTGCATGCAACTGTTGAATAACCTCGTTTTTTGCATTTTCATTATCCGACTCTACTGAAGAAAACCACGAGTCAAAGTCCTCTATTTTCATAAGAATAAGTAATCGATGAAACAAAGTCATCAAGGAACCAACCTGCAGAAGCGAATATATCAGGAAGCAAGAAGTTGAGTAGTGCCCAAAGCTCATGTAAGTTGTTTTGCAATGGAGTCCCTGTCAATAATAACCTACTCTGAGATTCAAATGTACGTACAACTTGAGAGAGTATAGAGTTTTCATTCTTAATTCTATGTGCTTCATCGATAATAACATAACGCCACATAAATCGTCTCAAACTATTCTTTTCCTTGATTGCCACTTCATATGTGGTAAGGCACACGTCAAAGTCTTTTGACAAAAGCCGTTGTTCCTTTAAGTTTGCTCTATCATCCTGATTGCCGTGAAAACGCAAAATATTAAAAGAAGGACACCATTTGTCAAATTCCAAAGCCCAGTTTCCTATGGTACTCTTTGGAACGATAATAAGATGAGGTCCATTAATATGACGATAGCCCCTTAAAAAAGCAAGCAAGGATATAGTTTGCAGTGTTTTTCCTAACCCCATTTCATCGGCAAGGATTCCGTTTAAACCGTGTTCATACAAGCCAATCAAAAAGTTAAGACCTTCTAGTTGATATGGTCGCATTGTGCCTTTCACATTGTACGGCTGTGAGGTCAGACGAGTTGTTTCTTGGTGACCATCCACTTCTGCTTCCATCAAAAGTTCATCTTCTTCTTTTTCTGTCATTCGACGTTTCGAAGACTTGGAGGAAGTCTTGGCTTGCTCAGTACTTGGTTTCTGTGGGGAGGCACCTGAGACAAAGTGTTTGAAAATGTCTGCTTGAGAAACTAGATACTTAAGCCTTTCCCTTGCAGAGGCGGCCTGTTAAGGTCGAAGTGAATACTTAATATTCTAAAAACCAAGTCAAAACGTACCGTTGCTTTCTTAACCACAGCATTATCTTCATCAAACTTCTCCTTTTTTTCCTTCTTTAGAGGTAGGTTGTGGGCAGCATTCTTTTCCAAATCCGCAGCATATTCTTTTTTTAACTCACTTTGGCTCTCATTTTCTTTTGTGTCACTTGCAGTCGTTTCGTTCTGAGCAAGATCCTCTCTCATGGCCCCGGGGTCTCCAATTTTCAAAAAATGCACAACTCTGTATGCCTAAAAAATTCTTCCCATTAAGAAGAGCCCTTTATTTTTCTTTTGTTCAGGTTCTTGTGTGTAAACGTCATTCTAAAGCCTTTGTGCATTAACCTCTTCACTATTTTGAGTGTTTATTAAGACAACTGACCATGTTCCCACTCCTTGTGGGTGCACAACACTATGACTGGGGTCGGCTTGCCACAGATTCCACGGTATACAAGCTGTTAAAGTCAAACCATGACTGGGCGAAGGAACTAGAAACTTCTGTACAGGTACATACTAACGATGAGACAAGACCTTTTGCAGAATTGTGGGTTGGAACGCATCCATCTTTACCTTCTTTCATAGTCCGGTCTCCGTTGTGTCCGTTGGAAGAGATTCTGAAACAGCAAAGTAGCCAATGGCCTGACGAAGTTGACTTTCAAGAAAGCACAAAGTCACTGCCTTTTCTTTTGAAGGTACTTTCTATTCAAAAGACTCTCTCGATTCAAGCTCATCCAGACTTGACCCTTGCGCAACAACTACATCGAAACAATCCCAAACAATATCCTGATGACAACCATAAACCTGAAATGGCTGTTGCTCTGAAAACTTGTGAAGTAATGTATGGTTTTAGAAAGTTGGAAGAAATTGCAATGGTACTCACAACATACGAAGAGGTAAGGGAAGTATGTGGACGTGAAGCTGTAGAGCGTTTCTTATCTCAAGTTGGTGTCACTGCTAGAGAGAAGAGACGCTCTCTTTTGAGAGATCTTGTAGCTTCACTTCTGGAACAAAGCCAAGAAATCATTTCAAGTTGTATTTTAAGAATATTACCAAAGTTGAGAGAGTTAAAGACAACTAGTAATCAGAAAGACGTTGTGAAATATGCTGACCTGGTAACTCGTCTATATGATCAACATGGACTAGATACTGGCGTAATTCTTTCTTTATTCTTGAATTTCATTACATTGGAACCTGGTGAAGCCTTATTTATATCGGCAAATGAACCCCATGCATATGTTTCTGGTGAACTCGTGGAAATTATGTCTTGTAGTGATAATGTCGTTCGAGCAGGACTGACTTCAAAATATAAAGATGTTTCAACATTGCTCGGTATGCTTACTTTTGAAGAAGCGGACCCACAGAATGTCAAATTTTCTGGTAAGGTTATCGAGAATGGTGTAGTCTGTTATACTCCTCCTGTGGATGAATTTGAATTGGAACTTGTTCATTTGAAATCTAGTAAGAACTTTTTGGTCAAGTAAGACACGCTACGTTTTAATAATATTGCTTTTCTAAGTTCAGTGCTGAATAGATCTACTAGCCTTGTACTTTGCTTATGTGGAGATGGAAAAATACGATGCAACTGCAAGACTCTCAAGGAAGGTAGTCATGATTTGCCTCTTAGGGAGGGCTCCTGCATTTGTCTCTTGAAAAACTCCGAATGTACTATAGAAAACATGAGTTCCAAGGAGCTGTTCTATTGCGTTGCGCATATGCGAAACAGTCAAGATGCTTAACTGAAGCTCTTATATATCTCTCACTCAATTCACATGGCCCTAATGGAAATTGGACATTTTTCACTCTTCACCACCCAAAAAGAATGAAAGAAAGATCGTTTGCTTGAGAAAGTAGAAATAGGGATAAATTATTGGGCCTTGTTCAGATATAGCTTTCCATGAGTCGAGTTAGGAACCTTTTCAGGTTGTTTTCAGTAGCCGGAACTAGAAGAAACTTTTTCAGTAAATCAACTTCGTTACATTCCTCAAACTTTCAAAGTGGTCATTCAAATTCCAAGAAGATTTTATGGCTTTCGGGAACTTTTACGATATTGGCCTCCACCGCCTTCCTAAACCAGAGGAAATTGTCGCTTGAAAGTCCCACTCACCCCGTTGAAGTTGCTCAAACTTCACGTGCAAAGGAGTCAGGAGAAGATCTTTCAGACTCTTTGAAGTCACGCACACCTGCTAGTGTGGTGGAAAGTTGTTTTCAGGATTTGCAAAAGTTGGGTCTTGGTGAAAGAATTACGAGGGAGTTACATGAACTAGAAACTCATGGTTCTGATATTTCTTTTCATGACAAAGTATTACCTGACATTGTCATTTATCCACAGGATACTAACGAGGTTTCCAGTATTTTGTCAATCTGCAACCAATATCAAATGCCTGTAGTAGCATATGGAGGTGCGACGAGCTTAGAAGGTCACATTTTACCTGTGAAAGGAGGTGTCGTTTTGGACTTTAGCAACATGAAAAGAGTCATTCGAGTGAACCTTCAAGATATGGACGTTACTGTAGAACCTGGTATTTCCTGGAACGAACTCAATGATTATCTTCGACCATACGGACTATTCTTCCCACCTGATCCTGGAGCTGGCGCTAGCATTGGAGGCATGGTTGCAACTTCTTGTGGAGGAACAAATGCGGTGAAGTACGGGACTATGAAGGAAAATGTTCTTAGTTTGAAAGTTGTTCTAGCCGATGGCAAAGTAATTCATACAAGACAAAGAGTCAAGAAAAGTTCTGCTGGTTATGACTTGACACATCTTTTTATCGGTTCCGAAGGAACGTTGGGAATAGGTTGGTTATCTCTCATAAAATGGTGATGATTCTCATTTTGTATCTTTAGTTACAGAAGCTGTCTTGAAACTGCACCCCATACCGGAATCTCACGGTGTAGCAATGTGCTATTTTGACAAAATAGAAGATGCTACATCAGCCGTCATCGATATTGTTCGTGCTTCTGTAGATTGTGGCAGAATTGAACTGATGGATGACTTGATGGTAAAAGCAGTGAATAAATCAGAAGGTCTTCATTTGGAGGAGAAACCTGTACTTCTGTTTGAACTGGCTGGGTCGACTCATGCGGTGAATGAACAAATGGAAAAGATTTTAAATATTACAAAGAATCACAAGGGCCAAAACTTTGAATATGCCACAGAACCAGAGAAGCGAGAAGGACTGTGGCGAGCGAGAAAGGTATATATTGTTGTACCACTTTCGTATTTGCAGGTGGTTAACTTTTTTATAAGGACGCTCTTTGGAGTGCATACTCTCTAAGGCCTGACTGTGAGCTATGGACTACAGATGTTTGTGTCCCTGTTTCTAGACTGTCGGAAATGATTCATTATACCAAGGAGGACCTTCGAAAGACGAACATTGTAGCCCCTTTAATAGCACATGCTGGTGATGGGAATTTTCACCTAGTCATCTTAGTCAGACCAAATGATAAGGAGGAAATGGAAATGGTAAAGTCATTTAATGACAGACTTGTGAAACGAGCAATTTCAATGGAAGGCACTTGTACAGGAGAACACGGAATTGGAGAGGGAAAAAGAGAATATCTTGTAACAGAACTTGGAGAAGATGCAATTGGACTTATGAGAACGATTAAAGAAGCTTTCGATCCAAATGGAATACTAAACCCCGGAAAAGTATTTATGCCCAAGGGAAAACAAGAAATTAGTTTTTGAAAGTTTCATGTTTGATTTGTTCATAAAGAACCAAAGAGAATATGACTTTGCTTTGACAGTTACAGTACAACTTGACCTATTCCTTCACAACGAGGGCACCTTATGACACCTTTTTGTTTGCATTTGAAACAAGTTTTGCTCGAGTGCTGCAAATCTTCTATACATATCCACCCACTGTTCCATAACTTTCGGTTTTTGAGAACCTTTATAACAGTGACTTATGAAAACGTTCAAAGGTGAAGACAAACCTGAATAGGTACTTCAACGGAACTCCTAGCCTCTTTTCTACCACAAGTATTCTGTAAAACAGCAACCATATCCTTGCCCTTTCCTTTCTTCGTTGTACAAACAAAGTGGCGCCTGCCTTGGACTGGAACGACTGCTGTCCATTGAGAACCAACTAGAGAGTCTTTTTTAACGCTATTGTTCCGATTAAATACTCCTTTCTTTACTTTGCCAACGCCTGAGCAAACATCACAAGGGACGACACGGTAACCACCACAGAGAGAACATGGTTTTGGCTCTCTTTCTTGAAATCTTCTGAAAACAGGCCAACCAAATGAAGACAAAAATAACGGAAAGACGGCTGTTGGAAAAGAAAAAGCAGGAGTAGTATAGCAAGTGCTTCGTCCAGGATACACGGTTTCAAAGTCTCGAAGAATTTCCATAAGTTTTTTATTCCGGGGTGAATTTGTACCTCATAACTTGGTTCGATTGTCGAACTAGAATCTTTCAGCGCTATTCTATGGAAGACGAGAACAAATTATGAAGTCAAGACACAGGATAGTAGTCTGTCACTTTTCCAACACTTTTCGCATATGCGGCTCTCTATGTTTTCTTTACTCCAAACTGGAGAAAAACTTGTCTGTCGAAAAATTCTCGACACCCCATTATTCCATTACAAACTCTATTGAAGAAGTAAACGTCTTGGAAAGTAATCGTATAAACTTTTACGTTGGTACTTCTTCGTTGAAGAAACCAAAGAGGAACGACAAGGTAAGTTGCACGATTGCTCACTCTTCCACCAATGATATCCTGTTTGAACGTTAAACTTGTTTTCTATGTAGTTGATGTCCAGATTGTGTAAAATTTTTGTGGCAGGTTTCGTTTCTGGCGCTCTAACCTCCATAGTCATAACTCCGGTAGAAGTTGTTACAGCTCTAAAGTCGAGAGTGAACTCGCCGTATTCTTCTTTATCTTTACCCAGTATTCTTCTAAGAGTATGGAAAGAGCAAGGTTGGAAAGGACTTTTCGATGGGTGGACAGGATTCGTTTTAAAAAGTGCTGTCACAAAATCCCTCAGGCTTGCTCTCTTTGAACAAACCAAGTATTTTCTTCAAACAAAGATGCACCCGTCGAGAGATATCACACCGAAAGAAAGACTATTAGCAGTTTCGTTGACCGGTATGATGGCCATGGCAATCTGTTATCCTTTACACGCGACACAGACTCTCAAAATGAAAGGCCTCGATCCCCCTAAAAATGTTCGAGTAGTGTATGGAGGCTGGTTTCCTGCCGTGCTACGAATGGTACCTCAATATGGTTTAGAATATCTTTTCTACGATATTCTTCGAACCGAAGTCTCCAGAAGGAAACGAAGAAAGCACTCGAATACCTTTTATGTCGACTTGAACTTGTGGAGCTTGTTAGTCTTGAGTGCCGTGTCAAGTCTGTTCGCACAAACTATTGCTCAACCTTTCAATGTCATATCTAAACGAATGACTGTTTTATCTGCAACAGATTCCGAAAAATGGAGAAAATATTCACAAATTGCTGCGATGTTCAGTGTTGCAAGTGAAGTCTGGAGAGAGTCAGGAATTTTTGGTTTTTTCAGGGGTCTCCGCTATCGTTATTTGAAGGCTATACCTTCCGTGTTTATGTCTAAAGTTGCCATGTTGTGTCTCAATAGCAGGTTGGGTTTGTCACCTTCGACGGAGACGTTTCGGGCTGCTTCCACGTTCTCTTGGAAGAGCTCAAACTTTTCTTCAAGCTCAATTCTTGGGGATTCTTTCCAGTATGTGGATTCTTTCACGTTGTACTCATAAATAGTTGGAAACTTTTTCGAGTTTTTGTGCTTTAAAATGTATCGTAATAAAAAGAATAATCTGAGAACGAAATTAATCTAATTGTGATGCATTTGTCATTTGAGTCATTGCCGACTTAACCCTGTTGGGATATATTGGCTGGCCATGCTCATTCTGTCCAAAAAGAGACGGGAAGAGAACAAAAGGGCCTCATTGGACTCTGTCCAATTTCCTCCAGTTGACGCAACGAGTCCAAGTCCTTCTGAAAGGAGCTTTGAAGACTCTTCGGAGGATAGCCCTTTGTTGCGAGAAAGGTTGTCTTCACTGGGACTGGGAATTAGGACTGTGGAGAAGGATGGAAATTGCCTTTTTAGTGCAGTTTCTGACCAGCTTTATGGCACACCAGAGTACCACCGAGAATTACGAGATGCAGTGTGTGGGTTTTTGCAGAGTCATGAAGAAGAATATAGTAGCTTCGTGGAAGATAAGGATTTTCAGAGTTACATTAGCGATATGAGAAAGTTGGGTACGTGGGCAGGAAATTTAGAGGTAATTATTCTTTTTCTGTTTTTATCTAGGGTTTGAATCCGTATGTAGCTTCATGCCGTTTCTATTCTGTATCATGTCAACGTTCGCATTCACTGTGAAGACGAAAGTTTCGTGGACATAGTTAATTTTGAAGGCAATGAAGCGAAATGGATATACTTGTCTTACCAACACGGTGAACATTACGGCAGTGTTCGAGAAGCGACAGATTTACAGAATTCCGTCCATAGCTCAGTAAAGGACGTGCTTGAGTCCTCTCCAGTTCTAATGACAGATCCTCTGATACAAAGTATATCACGGAGTCACCAAATATCTCCTAAACAGGTAGCAGATTGGTATTCGGTATTCAATGGCAATATAGAGTTAACTAACAAATGGCTGAAAGTTTCCAATGTAGCTCGCTCTTCTAAATTAGTAAATGGAGAGGACTCAAGAGGATTTTCTGGGAAACCATATCATGTGAGGACGTTGTCTAATATGTTTGGCTCGTCAAAGAACAAGAAAGCTGTGAAGAGAAAAGAAAGTAGTAACCCATCCTGCCGATAGAAGTCGTGTAATAACACTATTAGAAGCTGTATATTTTTAGTGGTTAAGAGTGTTTGATAGGATGGACGGAGAATATTTCGGTTCCATAGCTTGCCAAATGCTTTCTTAGGACAAATTTTCTTCCTGTGGTAAAGAATAATTTTTAAATGTTGAATTGGCTCCTGGAAGATTTCATGCGATGGCAAAGCGAGACATTCGGATTCTTATTGTTGATAATTATGACTCTTATACTTATAATCTCTTGCAAGCACTAGCCGAAGAGACTCTTTTAAAACCGATTGTTATTCAGAACGACGATTACTTGTCTTTCGAATCATTTTCTTGTAGGTTCGTCGAGCTATTTGTGCATCTTTAAGAAGTGGTAATTTTTAACTAGTGACTTTGATTGCGTTATTCTTTCTCCAGGTCCAGGAAGGCCAGAGAACTCTAAGGACTTTGGTCTCTGTTTCCAAATTCTAAAAGAGTGGTCTCTTCCTTTGCTAGGCGTTTGTCTTGGCTTTCAGGGTTTGGTCTGGACTTTTGGTGGTGAAATAGAACACGCGCCCGACGTATGGCACGGACGTTTAAGTCGCATAAAGCATCAAGGTGTGGATATTTTTGCTAGTTTACCTGAGGTATTCTCCGTGGTAAGGTACCATTCACTGTGTGTGAAAGCTTCGACCCTTCCTGATTGTTTGTACCCTCTTGCTTGGTCATTAGAGGATAATCTACTTATGGCTTGCAAACATAAGGAAAGACCTGTTTTTGGAGTACAATTTCACCCTGAATCGATTTGTACAGAGCATGGCAAGCAGGTTCTGAGCAACTTCCTTGATATCGTGATCAAAGAGAGGAAGCCAATTAATATTTTTCGAAGCCAAGAAAATTTTCTTCAGCCTAGGCTAAGCTCAAAATCAACGTACACTGCGCAAATTAAGCAAAAGTTTCGTGTGGTGTCGAAATTGCTCAAGACACCCTTGAATGAGTTAGATATTTCAACGCTATTTCGAAAGATTTATGGAAATTCAAATGTGCCTTGTTTCTGGTTAGACTCATCATTGTCAACTGAATGTGGTGAACAGTATTCTTATATGGGAGATTGTTCAGGTCCGTTCTCAGCGTATTTCGAATATAATGTTGAGCATCAGGCAGTCGAGCAATATAGTTGTGGTGATGACGCTTCTCTAAAATTTACTAATGTTTTCAAGTGTAATATATTCGATTTCTTGCAAATGAAGCTCAATGAAAGAGTAGTAGATGCAGCGTGTATTCCTCTTTATGAGTTTTGTGGTGGTTTTGTTGGTTATTTTGGCTATGAAACCAAAAAAGATTGTTGTCCAATACGTAATCGACATAAGTCTTCGTTACCAGATGCAGCGTTTATGTTCTGTGACCGTTTCATTGTAATAAATCATCGTTCTAACACAGTTGAAGCTGTCTGTCTTGAAGATATGGTAGCAGATAATTCTGTGACTAGCAGACAGTGGTTTCAATACATTGAACTTCAAGTCAAAGATGTTGCAGAGAACCAGGAGACACTGTTGGTAAACGAGCAAAACGATGCCATTGAGTTTCCAAAGTTTCGATGGGAAATTCCGGAACAAGAATACATTGAAAAGATAAAGCGTTGTAAGACTTTTATTTATGAAGGTGAAACATATGAGATATGTTTGACCAATCGAATCCATTTCGAGGGTCGAGTGGATCCTTTTGCTGTTTACTGTAATCTTCGGAAGATCAATCCAGCTCCCTATTCCTGTTTTCTTCGTCTAAAGTCCTTATCTGTGTGCTGTAGTTCTCCAGAGCGCTTTATTCATGTGAATCGCAACATGGTTATCGAGTCGAAACCAATAAAGGGAACCATAAAGCGGGGATGTACCCATGAGGAGGATATTGATTTAAAGAAAAAATTGGAGAGTTCGGAAAAAGACTTTTCAGAAAATTTGATGATAGTAGATTTGGTAAGAAATGACTTTGGAAGAGTTTGCCATCCGGGAAATGTATGGGTTCCCAGTTTGATGAATATTGAAAGTTATGCCACTGTCCACCAGTTAGTTTCAACAGTACGTGGCATTCTTGACGAAGAAACTCCTTTACTAGAAGCTCTACGTGCTACATTTCCAATGGGCTCCATGACAGGTGCTCCTAAAGTGAGAACTATGGAAATTATTGACCAGCTTGAAACTTCTGCTCGAGGCGTGTATTCAGGAAGCATAGGATATTTGAGCTTAAATGGTGCCATCAACTTGAATGTCGTCATACGTACTATGGTAATCACTCAAAAGAGAGTAACAATTGGCACTGGTGGAGCAATCACAAGTCGTAGTATAGAAACAGAAGAATACCAAGAAATCTTACTGAAAGCTTCTGCTTTATTAACTTCGATAAGTCTAAGCTTAGGCTGTCATGGACGTTTTGATCTGAGTTGAAGTAGGATAAGTTCGAATGTACTTATCTGCTCGTTCAAATATATTTATATTCTCTATATGATGACTCGTATATGCTGTATTGTACTTTTATTAGCTTCTCTTCTACGTGCTTGTTTATATTTCATGGATATCATACAACCTTATCAGCAACACAGTCTTTGCTGTGGAAGAAGCACTTGGCCCATTCCTCCGCCAGTTCCTTTGTAATAAATTGAATATCTGAACTTCTGCGAAACCTTGCTCTAGCATCTTTCAAAAATGAGTCCTTTTTAGAGTACCATCTAGAGCTCCAAGGCTGTAAATTTTTTTTCCACAACTCGAGCTCTTCTTGCTCTGTGAAGACCGCACCCGACATACTCTTGTTCTCTTAAGTGACCAGAAAGCAAACAGGTATTCTAACTTACTTCTATAATTTGTTGAGCTTTCAAGTTGCTTGGTGGTTCTGGAAAGTACTTTCTAAACGCTTGCAGTAAGTTGAAGACTTCCTCCTCTTCTAAAATGTCCCTGTCTCTCTTTGTTGTGGAAGTTGAACCAATCCAACGATTTGTGTTCCTTATATCTACTTTTTTTGAACGCCGTTTTCTACATTGTGCTTTGACCTCAACGTACTTTTGTTCCGGAAGAAGTGGTAATAAGGGTGCCGATCCAATCAGGCTATGCTGAGACTCTGTGACTTTTGGCATTCAAACTTTCCCGCCCAACTTTGATAATTTGCAGAGTTGTTTTTTCTTTCCAAAGTATGTTGTCGATCAAATTCATGCGGGAAAGAATTGAGTTTATGTTTCCCGTTTCAAGACAAATTGCTTCGGAAGAATAAATCAAGCTTTGGTGGAAAGGACTCTGTAGGACTCAGTCACGAAGATGACCTTGTTATAAGAAGAATACTAAGTGGGCATTGAAAAACAAGAAAGTGAAACGCAGATTTCCAAATATTCGTCTCTTTTTGTAGACGTTTTGCTGTCAAAGGCTCATTGGAGAAACTTTCACAAAGACTAGGCTTGATACTGAAAGATCAAAGAATAGTGAAAATTTTGAAATTCCCTTCAACCCTCTCGTTTCTCTCAGAAGTTATACAGAAAAGATGAAACATTTCCTGTTCAAAATGTAGCCTATAATGCTACTTCTATTTGAATTTTCTCAAAAGAGTCCGTTTAGAAAATGAATTTCAAAGTAGATGACTCATCTACAAAACTTCTGTACATCATGCAAAGTTGAAAATATTTTATCTTCCATGGAGATAAAAGACTCATAAAAGTATTTGCAGGCAATGGCAACAAAGATTTCCACGATTTGTATGTTTATAAATATCAGAAATAGGAAACATTCTACAACCCAAGTGAACTCATTTAGAGCAAATTTTATGCATTTTTGTTCAATCTAGCAGTTTCGATTGGAGCTCTCCAGTTACAAAATTCCATAATCTTACGAAATAGTCGAAAAAGTTAGATGAAAGTATACACTAGGTCTTCTAGTCTATCCAGAAAAAAAAGCTCTTCTTGCTTGGCTCCTTTCATTCGATCGTTCTTTTATAAGTTGCATTCAAAAAGTTTAATCGTCATCAAAATCTTATGGAACTGAGGATGAAATAAGGTGTAAAGGAGGTCTCACTATAATTTGGCGACTGCAATCAACTTGATAAATATTTCGAGAATGAACCATTTCGCCATTGTAGTATAGATGGAGGGAGGGTAAATACAAAATACCGGTCAAAATAGGAACAAGTGTGACTACAATCTCAGTATCCGATTCGTTGTGTGGCAAAAAGCCTCGGGACTTTCCCATTACAATCCATCCGATGTTTTCGTTGTCAATTAAATAACCAAAGCCTTGACCAAAAGTATTCTCTCCCTCCCATCGAATAATCTTCAAACTGATTCGCAGGAGAAATTCGCTGCCTTGTACAAGTTGATAAGTATCATCATACTTATACTCTACTCTTAAAATGTACCATGGAACTAGCGCTGTAAATGAGAATGGGCATCTTAACTCCATATGATTGTTACGTTCAAGGCTGTCCTTGTTTTTCGAAATACAACATGATAGGCTCAGGAATGATTCTTCAGTTGACTTGAACACTGACTCAAGTCTATTCACTTCTGAAACCAACTTCAAGAAAAAGAATCGTCTTTCAAATGGCTTTTGAAAATAAAAAGAATATAAATGAATATCTCCGTTTTCATTGTCTAGCTGTAACTCTGGAACTGATATGGAGGAGATATGAAGAGCAACAAAACGAGATACAAGGGAACTACAACTAGAACAAGTAAGCATGAACTTCACTATACTCTCATCGAACAATAAGGTTTTGCATTCTATACCGATAAAAAACGGAAACACAACTTCGATTTCCTTTTCTGTATTATACTGATATGGTTTCTCCTCTCCTGAACTTAAAAATTCTTTACCAACTAAAGTGGCAAACAAAAACATTGTTTGTTTATAATGCGATGTTTCTCCAGCGGTTTGAATTGCCTTTGAGAAATCGAAGTTCTCTTTCGGAATAGGAATAGATGCCGTTAGTCGATATGTATCACCAGCCTCGATAGTTGGAAGCCTTAGAGATATCCGATCTTGTCGATGCCCACAAAACCCGATAAGAATGCTAGAACCTTCTACAGACGAATGATGTGATGCCTCAACTTCAATATCCTGATCAACAAAAAACTTGCCATCATTTGTATAAATTTCCGAGCATGATTGAAGAAAGATGCGACCAAGAGGAGGTCGTTCATGTACAAAAAGAGAAGTAAATAAAGGAAAAAAAGTGTCCAGCGGATCTGTCGCAGTCCATATTAGACTCAAACGATGCATCTTTAAATGAATACTCTCCACAAGTAACACTCCACAAAGTTCAAGACTATCTGTGATGACACTAATAATGTTGGAACCTGGTAGCACATAAAAAGAATCATTACTTTCCAGTTGAATTCTTTTATGGTCAATTTCCTTCGAAAATTCATTCTGCTCTGCCAGGAAAACAATACACTTTTCAATATATATTCCTCCAGGCAATTCAGACTCTAAAGAAATATCCAACGAAAGAGGGTCAAATTGGAAAATTTCATCCAATTGCAACTTAGTCACAATTCTACATGAGCGAAAAATTTTGTCAAGACGAAAAGATATCGTTTCAGGAACTGTCTTGGACAATTCATGCACTTCTTCAATCCAAATGGAAGCTTCCTGTTTGACCCTTTCAACTATATGTTCCGAGCAGTTTCGCTGCAATTCACACAAGTTATGAAGAATATTCAAGCAACTGCTCAAATACTTCGATGAAAGGCCTAGATCCTTTTCAGTCCTAGCAAGCCAGCTTAAACGACAAAATAATATGAGGTTCCAGTGTTCACTGGATAACAAATTACACTCGGTCTCCAAAACTTGTCGTGCTTCTTCTAGCCTTCCAATCGTTGCCAAAGTGATTCCATAATATCCTCGCATTTCAGAAACGAGCCTTTGTCTGCCAACTTTATCGAGCAACTCTGTCAAGGTGCGACATAAACCAATGAATTCTGCACAACCATTTTCAAGGCTCTCTAAATGTTGTGATAATGTTTCATCTTCTTTTAGTATTCTATCGTCCACAGTAATTTGTGTAAGAGAATCTAAAAATACTTTTTTCACATCAAGATATACGCAGGGAAATTCAATTGAAATCTTGTCAAACTTTGAACGTAAAAAATTCGAAAAGCATAAAAGTTGCATAAAAATGAGCTTCGCAATAAAATCCTCTGAAAAGTAAACGGGAAACGAATGCTGCATGTCTGCATTTTCTTCTGATTCATCCACATTGCTGTTTCGAGGAACATAAGATGAGTCTCTCAGTACACTACAACAACAGAAGATCCATGCCTGTATAAAAAAATTTTCAGTTTCCTCAGTTACATGCTTTGTTCGTTGGTAGATATTGGCAATATAGCTAGGATATCTCTTTAGACCAAAAGAATCACAAATGGCACATTATACGTACTTAAATACCAACTTGGGGATGTCCTCGAACATACGCAGTGAATATAGCAACGAAAATTGTCTTGAAAAAATGTAGGAAGAAACTTCCAACTCTCCCAAGTGACTTTGACATAATAAATTGCGAATCTCTTCACAACCATAATATAGAACTTGACGAGCTGAGGAAACTTTTGTCGATGCCTGGCGAAAGATACCTATCTTGTTGGTTTGAAAAACTTCTTGAGCGATTTGATAACATTTAAGAGATGACTCTAAATGTCCAGCTTGATAGTAGACAAAGGCAAGACTTTCTTCCAAAGCAACAAACTTTTGAAAATTCCAACCGGGAACACTTTTGCTTTGCAAGTACTTGTCTACTTCTTTTCTATATCCTTTAATCCTTTGTTCTATAGCTGATACAATACATTCTCGTAGTCGATGAACAAAGAATGCAGGAACTGTTCCACCTTGTTCAAGCTTGACAACTGTTTCACGACCTTTTATTACATTGAGTTCAGTTTTCAACCGCTCAAAAACCTTTCTTCTAGCCTTTTGTGCAGGATCTTCTTCGCTAAACATTCGCAAGCTTAATGAGGACACGTTGCTGTTTGTCGTGCTCAACGCTGCAGCCAAAGGAGCAGTTGAAGGTGGACTATATACTATCAGATACTCTACACTTTTTTCTCTACAAGCTTCTGCAAATACATGTAAACGCATTCTTTGCTTTTCTCTGTAAGAGTCAAGATCCGCGACGCTAATTACATAGATATAAAGGTAGGGATTTTTAAACCAATCAACCGGTCCAGAGTGAAAGTAGCTAACAATTCCGTTACTTGAATCAACTGTGCCACTATGAACGAGAAAGTCGAGCCACACGCTTTGAGAAACTCTGGATAGATACGAACCATCGTTGGAATAATCTTTCCACGAAAGCTGATATAGTGGCAAGCTTGACTCAACTAGCAAAAATAAATGTAAGTAAACTTTCCTCTCCTACTTAAATAGCATACCTCTTAAACGGTCCCATATCTTATACTCGTCTACAACTTTAACAGGAAGCCCTCTTGAAATGCCTTCCATTGTGTGTTTAAGTGTGTAACAAATTGTTTAGTGAAACTCTTCAAATGGTTTTTGACGTTGTCACTTCCGCCGCTGAATATGTAAGGAAAATAGTGGAAGGTTGCTCAGGACTGAAGGCTTTACTTACAGACGATGAAACCGTATGATTCCAAGTTTCTTCTTTCGTTATTAAGCCTAATAGAGTGTTTGTTGTCAGTTGTCCATGATCGGTCTCGTCTACTCGCAGCTTGAAGCTTATAATAAAGGAGTGTTCCTGATAGAGAAACTTGATACTCCAAGAAGCGAACAAATGAAACATATGAAATGTTTAGTTTTTGTTAGACCCAATTCTACCAACTTAAACATTTTGCAGAGGGAACTTGCTTCTCCAAAATTTGGAGAATACCACATATTTTTCTCAAACATCGTCAGGAAAACTTTACTAGAAGAACTTGCAGACTCAGACACTTCTGAAGTCGTCAATGAAGTACAGGAGTACTTTCTTGATTTCTATGCAGTGGCACCTCAGTTGTTTCATCTGAACGTTCTTCCTTGTGTATTGTCTGCTTCAGTTGAGAACCCTATTTTGGAACGTCTAGTTGACGGGATAAGTTCACTTTTTCTGGCACTCAAAATGAGACCCTTTATACGTTATGATGCACATAGCCAATTGTGTAGGTTTATCTGTGAAAGATTGAGTGTCAGAATGGATCAAGAGAATACTCTCTTTGACTTTCGTCGTCGTGAAAGTAACCCTGTAGTACTTATATTGGACCGTATGCAGGATCCTTTGACGCCTCTAATAACACCTTGGACCTACGAAGCCATGATACACGAACTGATTGGTATCAAGAATAATCGAGTCAACCTACGCCATTCCCCGGACGCTCGAAAAGGATATCAAGAAGTTGTGTTGGATCCAAAACAGGATGGATTTTACAATGTGAATAGATATAAGAACTATGGAGACTTGGGAGTAAATATTAAGTCGTTAGTTGACCGATTTCAGGAAAAGGCTCGATATAATCATAGCACATCAACCATCGAAGACATGATGAAGTTTTTAGAAGCTTATCCCGAGCTTCGAAGCTCCTCTTCCGAAGTAAACAAACATGTAACATTAATGAGTGAACTTTCGCGTCTTGTGACATCTCGACATCTTATGGATGTAGCACAACTTGAACAAGACATTGCCTGTAGAAACAGTTTGACTGAACATCAAAACCAGCTATTCAAGATGCTTCAAAACCCACATATTCACATTGAAGATAAATTTCGACTCAGTTTAATATACGCATTGCGTTATGAAGAAGTTACACAAAATCGATTGGGAGAAATAAAGGATACCTTAAAGAAGCTGGTAGGTTTGAATGTTGTTGAAAATTATTCTCATTTTCTTTGCAGGGACTAAGTGCAGAGCGTTTGCAGCTTTTTAGTTCGATTCTCAGGTATGGTGGCAATGCTAGTAGGACAAGCGATATATTCCAAAACAAAAGTATTTTGGGTATAGTTCGAAACACGGTTCGTCGAGGCATTGTTGGTGTAGAAAATGTTTTCGCGCAACACGTTCCTTTAATTGTTCATATCATAGATGACATTATGAAAGGTAGATTGAGAGAAACAGAATTTCCATTTATGATTCCACCATCTGGCAAAAATGTTCCAAAAGAAATAATCATTTTTATCACAGGGGGAGTTACATATCAAGAATCTAGAGCTGTTGCCTTAATTAACGGAGATTCGCAAACAGAGAGCGAACCCGAAATTAGTGCTGCTGCCAATTTTGCGCAATCAAATGGATTCCGAGTTATTTTGGGTGGCAGTACCGTGCATAATTCAAAGAGCTTTCTTGCGGAAGTTTCACGTGTTGCTTACCCATGGAAATAATACCGATGTTCTTTGGTATCTCTTTTTGTTGGGTTTCCTTTTGAGAAGAGGTACCGTCCTTGTTCCATGTGAGAGAGAATTGGAAAAGTATTCGATTTTTCTGGAAAGTCTCGAGCGAAACACAATGTTATTGGCTACATAATGAATAATAACAGTACTAGCATTTTTCTGGCGCCAAATTGAGTACCGAAACTTGTTTAAAGAACTTGTAAATATCTTGAATAATGGCACTTTTCGATTTCCCAGATGATGCGCCTGGCACTTTTGTGTTTTGCTTGTCTCCTAGTTTCTACTATTCCGAGTTCAGGAAAAGCACTTGAGGAACAAATGACATTTATCTCTCACAACTCCAACAGAGGCACAGAGAGGAAATCCTTGACAAAAGATACCGCCTACAAATCTCTTACAGCTGCTCAGTTGAATAAGATGCTATCCGGATGTCCATCGTCAATGTATCTGGATATGGTTTCTCATAAATGTGTCTCATCTTGTCCAGATTCAACGTATTCTTATAATAACCTTTGTGTTGAAACATGTCCTCCACAATATCCGGCAATTGATGCATCCTCTCGCAAATGTCTTGCTACTTGTCCTCAAGACAAACTAGTTTACTTGGTAGACAATATCTATGTTTGCGTTGATTCGTGTCCTCCAGGTTACAATTACATTCATGGTCAACAATGTCTTCAAACTTGTCCTCCCTACACGGTAATGACAGTTCAAAGATTTCAAAATTTAAGAAAACTAAAAGCTGCTTCCTCCAGTGGATAGACACTTCGACTATGACATGCTTGTCTGGATGGTACGTAAATTTTACAACGAGACTAAAGGTCCTCATATTCACTTATGGAAAGCCCATCCCATCTTCCTTATAGAATGAATCGAGTGTGTATGAAAGAGTGCCCATATCCATTGTTATACGACGGGAATTACTGCAGAAATGCTTGCCTTCCTAATCAGTTCCAGAATGGTCGCAACTGCACCAGTCAGTGTCCTTCAGATACGGTTTATAACGGAAGGATCTGTCAAGGATCTTGTCACGAGAAACTTACTGAAGTTGTTGGTACAGTTGGAGGGCAACATGCCAGAATATGCGTTCAAAATTGCTCTTCTTCGAAACCATTGTTATTCGGAACGGTAAGAATCAGGGATATTGAATAATGAATAACCCATTTGTTTCAAAGGAATGCGTTTCTTCCTGTCCAACTGGAACAGTTCAATACAACGGCGCCTGTTTATACGGGTAAGCAAATCTGTGAAGAATTACAAATAGACTCAAATATGACACCAGCTGTCCTCCAATTGCTCCAAAACACTCCAATGGTCACTGCGTAAGCCAATAAAGTGAATGCGGAGTGAAACCTGTCAGAAACGTTACGGCTTTGCCACGTTATCCAATAAAAGAAAAAATAGTTTTCTCGGTAGGAAACCTCCTTGTCCGAACAAACAAGAAAAATATGGCAAACTCAATTCCTATTTATTTATATCCTTAGTTCAAATGAACAACAACATTTGTCAACTATTTAAACTGGCCTTCGTAAAGATTGGGCGCAGTGGAATGTACAAATTCATAAAATATTTTTGCGTTATTTGAGCCAAACGTCGTTTCCAGTTCGTCTTCATCAGCATTGCAGAGTTCTTGTATAGAATTGAACTTGTTCACTATATTTTGAACGTTGCGCTCGTGAACTCCTGGTAATTGCAATAAAAGGTCGACAGCAGAATAATTGTCATATTCCTTCGAGTCTGTGTCATTTTGCACTAGGGAGTCTATCTCCGGCAGTTCGTCGATGGGTTCGGAACTTTTCAGAGCAGCAAAAACGCTACCGCAAAAGTACTCGCTATGACACCATATTAAACGCAACAAGGGAAAATGTATCGTTAGAAGAACCAACCGACTCAGTACCGATATTGGATTCAATTCCTTCACAAGTTCTGAAAAGCTCGATAAGAGAAACGACTTTCCAGGGGGAAATTCTATGAGAAGGCAAGGAAAGCGACAGTGACGACAGAGTTGTTGAACTTGCGAAAATAGTCGACCACTTTGCAAGGAACTAGTTAAGTCTGAGAGACTCTTTCTCTCCACAAATATGGACTTGCTTAGAATATAATCACCTATGCTTAACGTGACTGGTATGAGTTCAGCTCCAGTGTCATACAAAAGCTGTGGTAATTTGCTACGGAATTCCCTCATATCCACATATATTCTTCCTCCTATTTTCCTAGAATCTCGATTCAGTGTCCCTACCTCCACGATCCCAAACTTGGAGGTGTCTTCTCTATTCTGATCCACATTGGAGTGTTCGTCATCTACAAAAACAACCATATTTTCTTTTTCTCTTATGAGTCGTTCAAATGAATGAGCTTCGTATTCCAAGGCTTTTTCAAATTTATCCTTTTCGACCGAATTTTCATAAACAAGACAAAAAACTTCCAAAGGCAACTCAGTGAATTCGTTTTGATATACTTCAAGCTGTCGTATCAAACAATTATGTGGTTCATAAATAATCACGAATCTTGGCTTCAGTGACTCAAGAACTTCCAAACCCTTCCTACTCTCTGTGCTTGCTTCCAGTGTCACTATTTCGATATCGGGAACTTGTAAAGAAAGGTTGCGAGATGAATCTTTTTCTCCCAAAGTTTCTTCATCAGAACAATACGAAGCCAAGTCCATCCCCGTTTTCTCCTGTACGTTTTCTTTGTCAACAGGTTCAGGTTCTATTCCATAAAAGTTTTCTGAATCTGCAATTTCTTTAGCAAGAAGACGCTTTGCGCGAGCAATAGCTTCATCTCGGCTCTTCATAAGTTTTTGGAATTCCTTGCGAAGGTATTCTTCTGGGGCCTTGGCATCCTTTACAATTTCTGAAAGTTCTATCATCGTGGAGACATCTTTCACAAATATGATTACTCGACAACCATATCCCATTGACAACATCTCATCCCATTTTTCGCCATTTGTTTTGGCTCTAATCTCTTGCAATAGAGAATGAAGTACAGACCATTTAGGACTAGGTTCAAGGATTACCTTCATATCGAGAGGTATACTCGACCCAGATGTGAATTTGGGTTTTTTCTCCTTCCTTTCCAAATCCTTATTGTCCTTACTTTTAACATAAATTCTACTTTTTGCAAAGGTGAAAATTTTCTCCCCAGTTTTTGACATTAACCAATGAGATTTGGAAGTATCTTCACTTTGTGTGATAGCCATGAGGAAATTAAAAAAACTGACACAGTTCAGTTTGGTAGAAAAAGTTAAGATATTTCTCAAAGTTCTTAAATCTCTTATCAACTGCTTCGTATAACTGCTCACATTGTGCCACATGGGCTCCAACTGCTTCAATATGACAAAATCAAAACTTTTGAATAACGCATTCTGTATATCCAGTTCAGAAACGTCGATACTTTTATTTCGACGTTTCAGTTCAACCAAACACGCACCCATAGCTTCCAAAATTGCCTTGCTTAAAGATGCCATCTTTGGAGTCTGCCTCACTTCCAATTCAACCAGTTGCCCACTTGACTTGAGCAAGCATTGATCAACTTCTACTCGGAACCGGGGCCAGAGATATAACTTTGTAACTTTCAAGTTTCTCATGGCCTTTTCCACCAAGTGAAAGCCCCTCGTAAACCATTCCGCTCTTTCTGAAAACGCTTTTATCGAACATTTTTTGTTTTGTTCTTTCAGCAAACGAATGATAAAGCATTCTATTCGCGAATCATCTACCAAAAATTCTGCCTCATTGACAACCATACAACTCACTTTCTCCGCTGGAATTACTTTCAACAAAAGATCGTGAACCAAGATGGTGGAAGTGACAACCAAAAACCCTTGTTCTAAATGATAAATAGACTGTCTTTCTGCTCGAGAATAACTGGCGTCTATTTCTCTTGGATAAAGATGAGGCTCTATGTCTTGGTTTACTAGAAACCATTGTTCCAAAGAGTGCAACCAGTCCTTAGAAAAGCGTAAACCGAGGATAAGCTTTTGCTGTTGGCACAAGTTATCGACAAGTTTAGAAATAATTCTCTGCACACCTAGTCCCTTTCCAACGATACATAGACCATCTTGCTCTTCAACTTCCTTAAGAGCCAGTCTTTCATATTCCAAAATCATGGCCAATTCAAATGGATTTAATACTTCCAACAACAAAAACAGAAAAATATTTTTATTACCAAAATGGACACCAACCAACATAACATTGACAAAGATTTTCAATATTCATAGCATCGGCAATTAATCGACTGACTTGTGCAGGAACTGAATGGACTTCATACTCTACATAATCATTTCCTGTCAATTTGCATTGCACACGATGTATTACACTTAATGCCCTCTTATTCAATTCTTCATTCATCGTTTCGATAGCTTCCGTACCCTTTTTCCTTTCCAAGTCTCTGAGTACAACTTCTGCTGGTGTCTCACCAGGCCTAAGAGAGAAGGAATATTCAGGGCGTTTGCTAGATGATAGAAACACATCTTCGTCTTTCAAACTCTCTCCCGAATGGACACGAGCCATTTGTGACAGACTGATTCCTGTCCTTCCCATCAATAAGCTTTTCGAAGCCGACAAACTCACACCTCCTTGCATGGAAAGTTCATATGCTTCCTTTAAGGCCTTTTCATTCAGTCCTTGATGATCTTTCATCATAGGAACAGTTTCTATCAGAGGGACATTCTCATTGTCCATCAGTAGTCGCCAGTTAATCAGCGGGTCGTGAACAAAGGCTTCCAAAACAGCCATCAACGAATCACGATGATTGCGTAATACCTGCATAACCTGTTCGCAAGAGTGTCTAAACTTTCCCTCTACTCCACAAATTTCCATGGCATTCACTAACATGCGAGTTAAACGAAAAGGGACCTTCTCAGGGAACTTCTCACGCAACATGGCTACCTCAAAACAGTCACCAAAATCAATGTGGATGATTCTTCCACTTCCTTTCTCCATCAATAGATTACTAGGATGGCGATCTCCAAGACCAAGAATGAAGCCTACCATAGACATGGTGGCCAATGAACGAATATACATCGTTCGATGAGCCAACCAAACTTCAGAATTCTTGCTCTTTAGAAACATCGACTTGCTAATATCAAAACCATTCGTGTTACTAATGGCGTGCTCAAAAGCCTCCAATTTCATAGGTAAGGTAAGTTCGTCATAGTCGGGAGCAACTTGAAGCATCAATCGATGTTCTATATTTAGAACTATCTTTCTCTGCTCTCGATATTCGCGAATAATGCTGTGTACTGTATAACAATTTGGAACCCAACCAATAAGACCTGTATTGGGACTCAGAGGAATCACTGAAAACCTCTTGATCTTGCATTGATTAGAGTTGGTCTTTATATTCTGGGATAAGAGATCGTTTACCAATCCAAATAACTGCATGACTCTTTCATCCTGTCGCAAGTCTTCATGTCCCTTCAATAAGAAAGTATACTCTTTGCCATCACTACCATACATGGTAAGTCTCCGAGGTCTCTGTTTTGAACTGATAACTTGCAATGTCGGATCGATGGCTGCAATTCGTACAATTGAATTCTTCTCAATGGAGTTTTCTTCAGAACGATAGGTACCAGGGACTGCCAATTCTAAGAATCGAACATTGAGAAGTTTACTAGAAACATTCGCAAGATGCAACGAAGTCATTTGTGGTACTTGTTTATTGATCTTCCGGAAAACTTGATAGTATATTTCCCAAGCTTGATTCATGTCCGATTCCTTCCCACTTGACTTATAACGCTCACAAAAGCTGGCAGCATCTCTTAGATCCTGTCCAAAGTCTCGTAGAAATTCCATTTCTGCAATGGTTTCTGCACCATTGTCGATCATTTCATGAAGAGGTTCGAGAATCTCCAACATTCCTTCTGAGTTTCCCTCACCAAAATACAATCTACTAGCCTCCTCTAGACCTTCATGCCAAAGTTCTTGCCAAAGAATGGCTACTCTCAACAACTCTTTCGATACCATTTCTGCCTGCTCTACTAAGGTCGGAGAATGAAAACGGATGGAATGGACTACTTCTTCCGCTGTTTCTCGGCGAATCTTATTTGTCGATTTGGTTGCAACATGCAAAGGATAAACCAAAGCTTGTGGATGTCTTCTTCCAATTCGAATCAGCAAAGATCGAATAGCGCTTCGAACTGCTTGATTATTCACGTGCAATCTGGCTATGAGCTGTGGAATAACTTCCAACCAAGTGTCCACTTCAGCCGCAGCAACACCACTATTTACAGAAATATTTACTTCTTGTATGTGTCCATATCGGAACCACAATGTTAACAAACGAAGAATGTCTTGCAAGCGAGAAGCACTTCCTGATGACAGCGAAACAGCCCTAAAGAAGCCAGTAATAGCAGCGATAACCAATAATTTGGAGCGATCATTTGTAGACTTTGGATCATCTTCCCGACTTTGTTCTTGTGAGTAAGCACTTCCTTTCTTTGGGAAAGAGCGGCCAGCTGTTTCAATAAGTTCTGCATTGATACATGCCCATACATGCCAAGTCTTGAACCAATCAGGACTAAGTTCTGTTGCTTTCGTAGCGTAATGGAGCACTGCCTTTGGAGATATATGTCTTGCACTAAGTTCATCTAGGCGTTGAACCATTTCTATTGCTGACAAATCCAACTTTTCATCAAAGTCATCTTCATCATCCTGTCCTTGCAATTGAAGCAGTGCTTTTTCCTCTTCTAGTTGTCGAGCCCATTTTGCAAGCTTCAAATAACGTCGAGCAGCAAGATTCCCTTCATCGTCTCTTATTTCAGATGACGCTTCCATCCTTAACATTTTAAAAGCTTTGACCCTGTCATCTGTCTCAAATAAATGCTTTAACAATGCAAAGGAAACTTCAGGATGTGAATCCTTCATTGCCAACTCAACATCCCATGAAGACGGTTGCTCATCAGGCATGGCTTCGGGATAAGCTAAAAGAAATCGGATGGCATTGGCAGCCATAGGATACCTTTGAGCCTTCCTACACAATTTGGAAAACTGAATCCATTGTTGCATGGTTTCTTGAGGCTCAAACACCAAGCTCCTCGTTCTAATCAATTGATACCAATAAAAATAATTATAAGGCAACCCTTTAAGTCTCGCACTCCAAAGTTCCGCAAGATTCCTCTTCATGGAACTTGTAGGATTTCTTAAAAACGCACATGCTTCCTCCAATTCCACAATTCTTTCTGCATTCAATACATCATAATATGCTCTTTCGTAACCCTCTGCTGCTCGGGCCTTTAACCTAATATCTAAATACTTCCTAGAACTATCAATCAAAGACTCCGCCATATCATAATTCTTTTTCTTCATCTGCAAAATTGCTTCACAACAAACTTTCAACAGCTTATTATTGGAAATGTATGGAATTCTTTCCTCGAATTCGTTCCACTTTTGCAAAGTCAAAGCAACAGAAGCTCCACCTTGTTCCGCTATCTTACGCTTATCACTTTCTGAAGCGCATTCCCACATCTCTTCACATAGCTGCTCTTCTCTTCGCCAATAACCTAGTTCTTCAAGACATCTCAAAATACCAAACAAACGATCCGATTCTGATAATATCACAAAAGGTTCCTCTAGAGGATCATCCAAGAAAGGTTGTGGTTGTGATGATAACAGTGGCTTAGAACTCAAACTGGTGATGTTCAGAGTGTCGAACTTGTTTATACGGGTCTCTTTGAAATTTAAGTTTCCATCATAGGCTGCTAAAGCCTCGTCCCATTGTTGCAATTTCTCATACCATTCTTGCCGTCTTTCAATACCAAATCGCATTTCTACATCTTCAAGTATTCCAACGGCTGAGTCTTGTTGATTCAACTTGTCATAGATAGAAATCAAGCCATGTGGCCCAGCCACAGCTGAAAGTGCAGATTGAGAATTTTCCACTTCCGCATATTCAGCTTCTTTATATCTCAAGGCCTTTGCAAATGCTCCACAACGGAATGCCATCTTCGCTAAGCTTCTAACATTAAAAGGCAAAGGCTTCTCATCATGTTCCATATACTCTATCAAAGATAATAAATTCTGCAAAGCGTCCAAAGGAATATTCTCAGAATGCATAGCTTCTGAAATAACACGAGCTAAATGGTGTTGAGCACTCTGTTGTAAAGATATCCAACAACTTAGGAAAGCGGCATTAAACAATTCCCTTAGCATTGGAGTGTAAACTTCTGCCAATCGAGAGCATGACCGAATAGCAACAGAAGGACTCTCTCTAAACAATGCAACACTAAACTTCGACATCCACTCTTCCCAATCCTCTGAGGTAGTTCTTCTTCCAATTTCCCATGAACTCTTCAACGCATCTTCATTCATTTGCATGTATAAATTACGATTGAATTCAGTCGAAGTATTATTGAATTCATCAATATCTTCGTTTTCAAATGGATCAGCGTCTAGTGAGTTGGAAGTCGATGAAGTCATATGCATAGAATAGTTTCTATTTCTCCTTCTTATCGACTCTTCATCTGTAATACGATGACCAAATTCCATCCCATATTCTTCTTGTATCAACTCCAAGAACTGTGAATCCAACGTACCTTCGATACGACACAGTATAGATAAAATGTCATCCACGAACAATGATAACAGCATAGGAGAAGCAACTCCAACCAAATAAAAAATATGCGTAATAATCGAAACGAATTCCTTAGCATCTGAACCACGTAGAATGTTGACAGTCAAACGCATTAGAAAACTACCAATTTCGGTGACCTGAATGTGAGGTATGATAGCAACTATGAAATCCAATATCTTCTTTCTTGTATTCACATTCAAGTTCACTTCAAGAAGAGTCTTCAAAATCTCACGTAAGATAGAAGGATAATCATCTAAATGAGGCCCAAAGAATTCAAGCATTGCAAGCATATGAATAGTTATTTCTCTATCATTTGAGGAATCTGAACGCAAAGTGTTTGTGATGCAAGCCGCAAAAGCTGGAATATACTCATAAAATTCATCCGAAAGTATGCAACTCAATAAACGAACCTTGAACAACAGTAAGATAATTTTCGCGAAAGCTTATAAATTGTCTTACTATTTCAAAAATAACCTTCAGTTCTGAAACAGATGGATCTCTTTCCCAATAATACCTAACAGTAGCGACTATGTCTCTAGCAAAGGAACGTACATTCTGTTTAGCAAATTCTATCAAACTACATAGCAAACGAAGAACAAATTCTCTCAAATGAGGATCCAAGTGCGTTGCTGAAGAAGAAGATGAACTACTGCTGCCATGTGTAACATAAAGTGCCGCACTGCTAATAACTGGAGACGATGTAGGAGAGGAGCCACTTAAGGAATCTGCGCTTTCAACACTTCCAGTCCTTCGTTTCGGGGAAATACCAATTTTATTCTTAGACACCTCTTCTGTAATATTCCTCTCAAGTATGCTAGTATTTCGAACAATCCTCGTACCTGCAGGTCTCAAAAGCCACAATAACTTTGAAAGGGTAACTGGTACCAACCACATACATGTTGAATGAAAACTCTTCACAATGGAAGCCATAGCATGAAGTGCTTCACGATGATATTGTGCAGATTTGGGATCCAATACGATTCGATGAAGACAATCTAAAGCTGCCGCATAAAAATAGTCATCTGACTTGGAATATGGACGGTCCAGACGACTCACCAAACTCTTCTTGCTAAATGCAATCTCCAAAACTGCAGGCGACAGTAAGCCCTCTTCAAAACTACTGGAACGCAAACCAGAACGAAATGCAGTTTCAGAACCAGAAGAATGACTCAAATGAGAATCCGAGAACGAGGCCTTGGAATGACTTCTCATAGAGTTGGGTGAATTCTCCAACTGATGAGAATACGAGTGATCATCTGATGATCGCAAAAGAGGGGATTTCCGAAAATTATTGTGATTGAATGACATCGATAGCGATTCCAACGTACTGACGGTTTCCTCTTCTTCAGTTTCATTCAAAGAAGTGTATTCAACCTCTTTCGGATCAATCGCACCAATAGTGCCCAATAAGCGTTCCACAGCTTGGCGAACTTCAGCATTTGTATCCATTTGAATAATACGCATCAACTTGGATAATAGCTCAGGATGACTCGAATATGGAGTTAATACAATTTTAGAGTATCGAACCACCAAACAAAGAGCATTCGTGGCAGCAACCTTCGCTTTGGCATCGAGCAATTCATCTTCCACCGTCATAATTAAAGTTGAGATGACATCCGGTAACAATTTCATGAGACTAAAAGACTGTCCAAAGCACACGGCAAGGTTACCAATAGCGCTGTATATTTCTGTCTGAGCATTCAAAGCTCTGCTGTCAAGAACACTTGAAGATGAAAGTGCGCGTAAGATATGCTTCATCCTCCACAATAACACGGTAAGAATGGGCTCAACATATGGCTCAACCAAAGAAGATGTCTCGCGGACTAATGAAGCTAATAGAACACAAGCATTGCTTCTTAAAGTGTGCAATACCTCGCTTGAACCGTTGTACTCCACAATTCTCAGTATTTGACACAACAATCGCCTCAAAACAGGCAAAATGACACCCGGATTATACTTTGATAATCTCCCACAAAGCTCCAGTGCCGCTTTTCTTGTCGGAATATTTTCATCGTAAAGAACAATGACAAGTTTCTCCAATGCCTCTGGTTGTGAGACATGCCAGCTAAATCTTTCATCTGATAGTCCTTCTAATGCTGCTAGACGTATAGAAGAATCAGGATCTGTGATGGAACTGGTTAGGATTTGCTCAGTTAAAGCTTTCACATCTCTACTGAGACTATCCCGCACTCTTTTTATAAGAGGAGAACATGATGAGCTACTAAGACAATATGGAATCCATGAGGCAATCATTTTGCAACATGCAAACATAGCTAAACGTCGGATGTGAGAAACTCCACAGTCCATTAGTTCAGCAACTTTTTCACGAATAAGAGGGGAAAAGAAATGTCCTTCAAACTCAAAGGACGAAAGAGTATTTAAGGCAAGCTCTAAACAGAATAATTCTTCCTTGCTCCACGAGCGTGTCTCGTCAAATTTTCTTACCATGCTGTGTTTCTTGTTGTAACTTTTGTTATTCACTCTTGAACTGGGCAAAGCGTTCATTTCATGGTTATTCAGTTGTAAAAATATACGGTCAATAGCAAGTATCAATCGGTCTTGAATTTCGACAAGGAAAAATGGAAAATATTTGGCAATGCAGCCTAGAGACTCTACAAGAGCTGGAGAAAGTTGGTGTGCGAACATCAAATCAATTAGTTCTTCAAAGACAGCAACAAAACGAGGATCGTTATCACGAATACTACTCGCTAAAAGAGAGATACATGTGAAGATAGACTATAAGGAAGATTCAGTGAAGTTACAAAAATGAAAATCAACAATCCTACCTCAGCCAAAGGACCTTTGTTAGGTCCATGTGTTGATTCAGACTTTTGCATCAAAGCCTCCGTTATCATCTTAAATACAACGTCAATCCAGCTCTTTGCATGTTCAATTCCAACACCATAAGCCAGTTTTCCAAACAACAATATATGATAACCTGGATTATTCACTTCAACATACAACTCATTGAACTCCTTAAATAAATGAACAGCTCTGTCTAAATAGCCTTTAGAAGGATCACAAAAAAGTTCAGGGTCTAAAGAAGCCAATGCAGTAAGACAAGAGCCAAGAGTACTTCTGATACTGAAACTTGTAAGAGATCGGAAACCTAGCATAAACCTACACAGGAGATGAAAGTGTTCCCTTAACAATTCACGAGTATCTTGATCTTTCAAAAGCTCTTCCAAAGTCAGCAAACAACCATGTAGTTTGGCAAGTTTCTCTGGAGATAATTCTGCTGCTTCACATTCACTGTCACAATCGCTAAATGAATCTCTCTCGTCGCCATCTTCACTATTCAGTGACTGAAGAATGCCAATGGCTGTATCTACAAGCTTCCCTACCAGAAACTCCATTTCGCTGGCGTATCGTTTCAAAACCTTATGTATAAACACTTGTAAACACACAGCAGAGTCTAAGCGAATAATGGAACGTGTGTCCCATAAACCGGACCATATTTGTTTGATGAATTCCGTCCTTCTGCTATAGAAAAACAATGGACAGTTGGAAATGATTTCTTTCAAAATCGCAATGCTTAAAGACTTTGCCACTATACTGTGGACATTTTCATGACTTTTAACAGTCATTCGCTCGAAACATCTCACTATTTCCGTCTCTACACATCGGTTCACTAGCAGACCATCAATTCTTGCTAGTCTTCCAAGAGCTGCGGCAGTAGTCACAATGAGATCAACTTCAACAAGATCATGTTGCATAAAATCCATTTCAGAAGAGTCTTTAGTATCTGTTCTCAAAATACCCGTGCTACACGAAAATAAAAATAGTTCAGTAGTTCTAGGACTAAGGGGAATAGAGTCTATAGCTTGAATAACTGTGCGCAACCCATTATAGGTTCGTTGAACCTTTTCTCGATAAGGCTCTCCGTGAAGATCTAACAAACAATTCAAGCAAACCACACCAGTGACTCTTTCTAATAAGTCATTTGAGCTCAATAAGTTTGCAAGATTGGGATATATTTCTTCTAGGACGTTCAAATTCACTGTCGAACTGCTTCGACTATAGCCTCCTCTGGAGTCCTTAATTCGCTGTTCAAGAGCTTCTCGAAAGCGTACAGCGGCTTCCCATCTTGACTTGGGTTCCTTCCTATTCAAGTCAAAATTTTTTTTATATTATTATGGGTTAGACAAGTAGTAACAGACTCACGACTGGTAGACTTGTCTTACTAAATTCAACAGTTGACTACTTGCTTTACTATTGTTTTCTGATTTGCACATATCAAAGTATGAGTACTTCAAAGCACTCCGACATTCCTATTTATTTTTCCATGGCGCCATAATCCATCTGCGTGTCCAACACTTTTGACGCATTGCTTTACAGTTTTGGAATGTCCATGGCGTGTCTTTTGATTTGCGCGGGTTCCCAATTCCGTTTTCTTATTTTGGCAAACATTCTCTTATTTTCTCAATAAATTGATCTATATCAAAAGCTGAATTCATTGAAACCGATGCTGGAACACTGCAATGAGCAAATTGCTGATATCTCTTCAGACGAAATCGCAAAAGTTGAGGATAACAGCGTTTCAACGCTGATATACCGTCCTCATTTGGAAGAGGCTGAAAACTATCTCCCCAAATAACTGGTTTGGGAGCCTCAAAATACAGTTGAATCATTTCTTGTAACATATCTTCAGGAGCTTCCAGATGGACTACTAAAAAAGTATCGTCGATAAAATCTTGAGTTTTCTTCTCCAAGTAAATAACACTACCCGTCGTATCCAATACAAAGGAGCGCCTAGTCTCTCGTGCAATTTGAGTAGCTTCATAAGTTAGTTGATTTTCATACTTCAAATACAACTCTTGATTCCGATAAAATCTCTCTTCAAAAGGGTATCCCATCCACTTTGCAACACCCTCAATTCCAGAAGAATAACCCTGTACTTGCAAAACGTTGGAAATCTGTTGTTCAATCTTGTCGTCTACACAAAATCGTTCAAACCCAAACTGCTGGGCCAATTGGAGGGAACGCAAAGTTTTTCCGCAGTTAGACATACCCACTAAGCAGATCCTCAGCTGACTCTGTTTCAACAGATCATCAAACTCTCTTCTGGACAAGTTGGCATAGTTTTGTACAATTCTACAATGCGTGACAACTCGACGGTTATAAGGCAACTGGGAATATATAAGAAGATAGGATAGGAAAAAAGTTTCCGATTTTCTTTCCACAAACGTACAAACTCGGAGTCTCTTTTGACTTTGACAAACAGAAGGATAACGAACATTTGTCAAATTATATGCGGAGAGAAAACTACAAATCATCGTTCACCCATTGCGTAATCTCACGTCGCTACACTTTCCAAATACCGTTCGAGAATATACCGATTGGATATCAAAATTGGTTTGCAACGTTTTACAAAACAACTTAAGCATGTCAAAAAAAAGTCCATATGGAGCTCATTTGTTCATGATAGTAAACTCTATTTTTTTGATTTAACCAATTTTTGGTTAAAGTCGCTTCAAAAGAATCCTGCCGAATCTATGACAAGAAAGAACAAATATCCAAAGATAAAAAATATGTTTTAGTTTACGCGTAGATGAGATGTTTCATATTCACTTGTCCAAACTACCTAAACGACTGGGATTCATCATTTCTATCCATTCTTGTAATGCACTAGCCACTACTTGTGGTAAACTTTCCACTTGGCGCACCAAGATGTAAAAGGGAAACGGAAAGTCATCCAAATAAGAACTTATTTTCAATTCTCCATTTTCTAGTGTTTCTACTCGTTTCAAACTAATAATTGATTGCTGTTTAGAATCCACATAATCAGTCTAAAAGGAAAATCAACCACAAGTTGCAAGCAAATGATCTTTTCAACTTACCAATAGGAAAACTATCAGTTGGCCATTTTCCCAAGCTTCTCTAACCAACTTTCTGATGAAATTTCTATTCTGCAAACGGCCATCAGATACAATAAAAAACAACTGAATAGTTGCAATTGAAGCTTGGCTGGTTGATTTTGACTCTTTTAAAAACACAATAGCTTGTCTCAATAGTTCCGCGACATCCGTGGCATTCTGTTTAAAATGAAATTGTTGCAAAATCTCTGCTCCTCCAACTTCCATTGACAAGCTGTCCTCAAAAGAACGCAGCCAACTCACTTCATTTCCAAAGCGGGCTACAGCCAGTCTTCCAACTTCATAACGTGTGAATGAAGAAGCCAGCAAAGCCAAAGTCTCCATTGCAAGAATACTAGCCTGGGATTCCATCATGGAAGCCGAATCATCAATTGCTATAAGCACATCATAAGAACGACGGTCAGGTTGCACTCTTCTCAACCAAATGCGGTCCTTTCGGAAATCCGAAGCATAGAATTCGATTACTTTCTTCATGGAAAGCCTCTTTCCTGTTCGATAACTACCTGTGAGTTGACTCGTGACGCAAGGTTCCAATATCATCTGTAGCCTTTCTGCAAGCAACATGGCATCTTGTGATGTCTTTTGAAGCAGCTGCTGCCAAATCAACTGACTCTCCTTTTCACCAGTTGTACTTCTTGTGAAAAAGGATTGGACTCGACGAGTAAAATCGACATATGAGTCCTCTTCCTCATCCAACGAGGCTGTTGTTTCCAACTCTTGAGTAACTTGCATAGAGTTGAGTTCTGCAAGCTCTCCAGGTGGTGCATATAATTGCATTGCATTATTTGTATTTTTGTCTTGTAACTCTTTTGTGCAATTGCTTTGTAAAGAAGATAGATCTCTTTCAATTTCTTCATTTGGTTGTTTCTTCTCATATTCCTCCCAATTTGTTCTCAAAGATTGTGTCTCATTAGCGTTGGCTTCTTCTCTTAGACACACACCTGAAGACTTTTCGAACGAGACTTGGGCTTTACGTTCCTCTTCTTCTTTCTTTATACCTTCCTCGATAAATTCATTGAGTTGGGATCTTTCCCAAGAGTCTACTACTTCATTGGATTCGTTCAAAGGATTTAAGGCTGACAATTCCTCTTCTTCATTTAAATTCATATCCTGTAAGCTGTCCATTTCTTGATGTTCTCCGTTGTCGACAACATTTTCCATCTTCACATCTTCGTTGTTTGATGACATATCTAATCTCTCCAATAAATGTTTCCAAATATCTTTAGAACTTTTCATATAGGGATTCAATATCCAATTGGCATCTTCACCTTTAGTATTATTTGATGACCGATAAGGATTAGCTTGGTCGGATTCTTGCCCTTCTTCTCCTTGCTCTGATAAATTATCCAATGCTTGATTGGCTTCTACATGATCTGATGGTGTTAGCTTGTTATGATGGTCAGAAGGTTTACGATCCTCTTTCGACGATACAAATCCAGTTTCTTGTTGGCATGAATCATCTTTTGCTTCCCCTTTGTCTTCTTGTTGTTGCCAATTGGTATCATCACAAGTATTGGATTCCATTTCCATAGATTCGTCATCATGCGATTGCAATTCGTCTTCTCTCGTTTCTTCAGTTGGTTGCTGTTCCTCCTCTTGAACAGTACTGGATTCGGAGAGATTTTCCAAATCCTCCGGGAATGCATCCATTTCCTCAGCACAATGACCCTCTTCTTCCATTTGTGCTTCATTTCGATCATCAGCAAATTCACCATTTGTGCTTTCTAAATATTCTTCTTTCAATTCTGATATTTTTTCATTCTCCGTTAAAAACTCTTGATTAAGGTCATCATCATCATGATTACTGCCTTTCATTTCATTATCCATCAACATCTCTTCAGTTGATGGACGGGCTTGCTGTGGTGAATCCTTACTTTCAAGACCACTTGTTTCTAGATTGTCAGAGATGATAGGATCATTTTCGCCATCTCCTGACTCAACATCTTCCACTTGTTCCTCATTTTCTTCTTCCAAAGTTCCATCTTGCCAAGTATTATCCATATCAACTTGGCTTTGTTGACTGTCATCATGATTGCTCATAGGGTTTGTCTGAGGTTGACTGTCTTTATCTTGTTTATCAGAACCCAGTTTCTCATAAGCTTCTTGCCAATCTTGTTCGTCTAGTTGATCACTTATATCATTTGCTTCTTGCATAGACTGAATGGAAGCATCACATAATCCAGTACCTTGCACATTTTCATACTTGGTACCGTATTCTCTATCCATCGTACTTTCCGTATCATTCTCTGATTGAGTCCACTTTTCTTTGATACCAGTAAATAACATATCGTTGGTGAGTTTCCACCATAAACAGCAAATCGCATCGCATATCACCGCAACCCGTATCACTTTCGATACCATAATCTGTAAATCCTTCGCCTCATCAGCTTCTGGAGTCCTATTTGAATCCCAAAAAGAATGAATTTGTTTTTTCATAGACTCCAATGCCACTAAGCAGTTTTGACAAACACCATATAAGGAAGAAGAATGAGATGCTCCATTGTCCAAAACATTTCTCAGCCGCTCTAAATGTTCATTTCGGGAACTTTCTGTGTCATCGTGACAATCTTTTCTCTCCTTAACGCTATGCATCGATTTGTACCACAAGTTTGCTAAACTTTCAACGTACATAAAAATACCTTGCTTCCATTTCCGCTCCAACGGAACTTTTAAAAGTCTATCCAAAGATGAACTGTCTGATTGCTTCGTGTACCATTCCTCTACTGCTTGTTGCAACTGAGAAAACCAGTGCTCCTTATCTTTGTCTAGTGGTTGTTGTCTCATCTTATTGTATTCTTCATACAACGTTATCCATTCCGTATATTGTACATAGAATTGAGTCAAACTAGAATCTTTTATCTCGTCCAACTTATTCAAATTTCTCCAACCATCGCGTACATCATGAATCAACTGTCGCAATTGCATAGTCATGTATTGTAAATACTTTCCAAAATGTAAACCCATATTCATTTCATTCCAAACTTGTTTCCTATCTCCGGATAAAACATCCTGACCATTCAACTCTGGCAAATACGATAACCACCGTCGAATCCAACAACTCTGAGCTAAACAAGAAAAGTAGAGTTCATCCTGCAAGGATATAGCTTCAAGTGAATCCCAACCATCCAATGATTCCTTTATGCCTATTACAGGGCAAGCTAATTGAAATGATAAAGAACGATGTGAAGTTGGTATTGTTGATGGATAGCAAGAAACTTCATTCTCCTTCAAAACACACAGCCAGTGTTGAAAATCTTGTGGAGAAAACCCTTCCTTCGTCAAGCTTTGTTCCCAAACATGAAACGATTTCTTCCAAACGTTTAGCAAATAAGAAGTTTTTTCACACCAACTAAAACTCATCACGTCATCCCAATCTCTATGCCATATTTCTCTGTTACTCAGTGACTCGAACAAGTTCGCAGAAAGTTGCTTTGCCCTGCTGTCACGTTGATAGCCATTTTCCATATCATCTTTCAAAAGAGGAGCTATAGAATCCGAGAGGCTACGTTCCAACTCTCTTCCAATTTGAACTGCCTTTTGTCTCAATCCGATAGGAAATCCAAATCTGCTTTCCAGCTCTTCCGCACTAGTTTGACTGTATTGATATGCATATTCTATATTTCGTTGAATTTTATCTAAAGCCGTCTTTCGTCTCTCCTCATAATCCTTTTGTATCCTTCTTTCATACTGCTGATAATAACAATAAATTCCACGTAACAAATTCGCTAACCAAGAAGTAGTACTGTCGTCTTTTTTCCATTGAAATAACAAATAAAAGCTCTTAACTATATTCACGCGCAATGAAAAGTCTGCAATTTGAGCAGTTCTTAGAAAGAAATCCATTACTTGCATCACATCTTCCCTACAGACTGATGACTGCAAAGAATGGCTCAAGAAGATATAAAGTGGTAAAAAATAGTCTATTGAGTCCATTTGTAACTTCTCCTCTCGCCATTCTATCCATTCCTTCTGCCAATGTTGCATGATCCATTTATTCCATTTGTCCAAAATACATTGCAGTTGTGCAATGACTTTACCAATGGGATGTTCTTTACCTAGCCATTGCTTTTGCCAAAGTATCAAATGATCCTTCCATTGCTTTACAAGTTGCGCAATACGAATCATAGGAGTTTTCCTCGACAATTGTTGAATTCGTACTAAATCTTCTTCCACAGTGTTCAATAGGCTCTTGTATGCTAAATGTTCCGTGCTTTGGTGGTATTGTTTGACAAACTTGTAAGTTTGTTTCCAAGGTTCATCCAGTTGCACTATTTCATTGGGCATCAAATCTTGATAAAATTGAAAACACGACTTTCTCAATACTTGTGTACTGTCCATGGGGGTTATTTCTCCTTCCATGCCAAACAACAAAATCCATCCTCCAAGATCCCAATAGTCAAATTCATTTATCAACCTAGAAGGATCATCCTTTATATCTTCTTGTCTAGACTCTTGTCGAGCTGCACAATTGGCAAAAGAATAGATTCGTTGCAATTGTTGTTTACAAGATGAACTTTGTTGTGGACTCCATTGAGTCAACAATCCAATGATCAACTGGATAAACCAAATATGTCTTTTGCTCTTCTCCAATTGCTGCTTGGAACTTTCCCACGAATGCTCAGATGTCATATCTTCCAAAAGATGTGCTTGTAAATACAACTTATCCCAACTTTCACGACTTTCTTCATCAAACCATACATCTTCGGCTTTTTCTTGAAAATTCCATGAAATGGGAGCTTGATTCATTTCGTTTGGTTGGACGAAATGGCTTCGTAAACCGAAATGCCCAATTATTTGTCCAAGATACTTGTGTACTTGTGATATTCCATGAATAGTTACCTGAGAAACAACGGGCTCCATTCTTAAAAAGTAAAGCCATTTTAAGGTCATCAACTGGGAGATGGATAGGTTAAAATTGCTATTTTCATACTGAAGAGACCAAGCAACACATTTGGAAGGCAACGAACTTATAGGACATATAGGCGATGGAACATTATCTGATACATCACCACAACCACCAATAGGAAGTTGGAAATAAAAGTCTCTGGTCATCAAATAACTTCCAACCAAAATTTCATAGCCAGCTACAAGCACTTGGTCTATTAGTCCCCAATCCTTGCTCACTTCGGAAAGTTGAATCAAGCCATGCGAAAGATTGGTTTGCCATTGATTCAATTCTTGTAACACAGAACTGATATCCTTGCCTTCCATTCCTTTCTTCCCTAGTTTCCATATCTCATGTTGATAATAATCTAAACGTTGAGAGGATAACAAGTCACTAGCCATAGATAAAAATGCTTGTACAAGTTGAGGATATTCTTCGACCAAATCAGAATAAGATGCCAGATTACAGCTCGTCGATAAAATGTTCTCACAAAAACACTGCCATAAAGAAATGTAACTTTCATCTTGTAAGAAATGAAAGAATCGGAAGTAACTCATTTCTTCTAATACTTGTTTCCAGCTTTGAATGCTCTGTCCTACTTTTCTTGGGTGATATTTGCTTCGAAAGAGAACGCATTCTTCTAAATGCTGTCTTCCCATCATAAACCATTTCTCTCCAATAGAAAATAACGACCGATTAGCCTCTTCACATATATGAAAATTAAAGTCAGCACTTTGAAAACTTTGCATATCTGACGAATCATTCAAATAGGTCTGTTTCCACAACTCTACTTGGACATTGTACATTTTCACAAACAAGTCATGTGGCTGAAAGACTCTTTCATCACGTAGGGAACAGATGATATCCAACATTTGGTTGAGAAACTGTTTCGAATGATGCAATTGCAAACTGTATCCCAAAGCATTCAAAGAATAAATATTATTTTCTATGCAAATACTTCGTTGCCAATCACAACGTAACGAACTACTTAAGAGATACATCCATCCATTTTCCAGGCAAGACATTCTATGAAAACTGTTACGATTCTGAAATAGCCAAAGGATAACTGACAGACTGCCTTGTGCCAAGAAATGTTGGATCCAAGCTTGTTGCCATTTCACTCTAGACTTGGAGTTGCAATCGAATAGCCAAATCAATTGTTGTTGAGAGATAAGACATTCCATATTCCAATCGGATGATGGAAACGTGGAAACCATATTAAGCCATTCAATGGGAAGTTGTTTCGAACAACTTTCAAGAGCTCCATTCCAAAACAAAATACTTGTCCAAAAATGCCATATCGTGAAAACCATACGGGTCTCCTGGCATATAAAGACAAGTTCATTCTCATAAGGAATGAGTATTGACTCAAAGAAATCGACACTCAGTGACGATAACCATTCCGATGGTATGTCAACATCGGCATCCAAGACTTGTTGAGAACGCAACCACGTACGAAATTGAACTTGATATTGGCGAGATATTGCTTTGGCATTCTGACTATCTAAATATTCCAGGGAACCAATATTAGCCTCTTGCATTCTTTTGGAAACATAAAGCGGTTCAAATAAATGATAACTTTGTAAAAACTGTAACTTCCAACCACCAACAGACAGAAGAACTTGATCACATTGATGAAGCCAGTCTCTTACTCTTTCTTGTGAAATAATTTCTTGAAATGCACCTGACGCAAGTAACAATTCTTTCAAGGCTTGTTGAAGGAAACTGAACAAAGAAAGCATAACAATAGGTTCCACTTCGTTTGGATAGCCATATATGCATTGTATCAAAGTCCAATAGCCAACAGTAAAAAATGGGAGACTTGAAGTATCCATCTTTTTCACCATTTCCACATCCCACAAATATTCCAATAGAAGAACCGTTTGATTTAAGAAATTCTCATTTTCCATAACAACATATTCACCACGTAAAACTTGCGGGAGATACACTATTCCTTCCTTTACTAACCAACCGATCATTTCATCCCTCGACATACAATAAGACATCGACTCTCTCTGAGGTGACTGTGTAACAAAGTTCGACATGGAGTTGACCAATGACAAATAACGCTCCTCCACAATATGACACCTATAGAACTCTACGAATTGGGTAACTAAAGGCATCCATCTTTCATAATTTGAATAATACGTGGCCCAAACACTCATTTGCAAGAAAAACTCTGATAAACACAATACAGGATATTTCTTCAACAGCACCAACTTGTCAGAGTTTTGATATTTGTGAGGCATTTTGGACTCAAGCCATTGTTGTAGCCATTGATATTCTTCGGTAGGAGATAAGGAATCCTCTTTGTCAATACATATCCAGTAGACTTGTGCTAATAGGCTATCTTCGGGTATTCCTAAATAACTTGGCTTTCCCATAGAATGAAGTAAACCAAATATACAAGACCATCTACGATCTGAACCAATATCTTTCAAGTCTGGCCAACTCTTTCGTCGACTCATCATTGTCCACCAATAATATGTCATATGAACAATATTCTCTTCTGGATAAGAAAAAGATGAACAACTAAAAACACTCCGTTCTATTGAATTACAAGAAAGCTTAAAAACATCTTTAAGGGTTAAAGGATTCGTCATATTATTGATAGTCGTGACGTTATTCATTTCACTACCAGTCAAATCTGGTAAATGAGTAATCAATGCTCTATTCCACAAGGCCTTCGATAACTGATGTTGTTTGCCTTGTTCCACCACAAAGAATATACGAAACCGGGGATGAATATGAAAACTCTCTCTTTCCTCTCCATCCACAGTGGATGGAAGCCAAAGTGTTCTATTTGTTCCCGATACAGAATCTTCTAAAAATGGATTCAGTGCATCCAAAATAGCTGGTGGATATCGATGTGCCTCGTCTATCATTATCCAATCACCTCGTCTAGCGGCTTTAATGAAAGAGGAATATACCCATTGAAACATAGAAACACATTTCTTATCATTCTTATGAATGTGAAGACATTCCTCCAATTTTCTACGCAAAGATACTATCCAATGTAGAATTTTGGGATTCATAACATCTTTTGATAATTGATCAAAGAATCCAATAACTTTTGTCAACTCATAGTCCATCCAGTCAAACTTGTTCGAACCCTTGTTGTGCAACTCCAAACACAACTCTCTTACCCATTTTGAAACAAAATACAAGTCTTTTACTATCTTCTCTTGTTGCTTCTCTTCCACAAAAATAGCACCGAGTATTTGGTTGCATCTCGATATAACATCAACTTGAAGAATGTCCCACAATGTCTCCCAAGCATCGAAAACTTGATAACTTCCAACAAAATTACCACCATCTGTATCCATTCCAGATTGATTCCATTCCACGAGTCTTTGTCCTATACAAAAGTTTACAAAATCAAAAATAAATACAATTACTTTCATACCAAATATATTGGATAATGTACGAATGAGACTTTTTCTTCCACTTCCTCTCTTTCCAATGACTATCATAGGCCAATCATGCAAAACACCAATGCTTAATGTCCATGAACTTTTTCGATAGGTCTCCATCCACCGAACTTCTTCTCTAGTCCTGGAAAAAGTTGCTAATGATTCTTCTTCTTCTGACCAGTCTTTGTGCCAAACTATTTCCACAGGTCCTGCTTGAATAAGATACTTGTCCTTTCGATAAATAGTAAAAGAAGGAATCTTTTGTTGTATACTAGTCGGTGTATCAAAAACTTGACCGTATTTTTCCATTGCTAAGTCATGAACGTCCATTCCTAATCTTTCTATAATCAAATTTTCAAAAAACAAGTAACTTGCCACATCAAAATCTCCAATCAACTCTACATGTTCTTCAACACATGAGAACCAACGAAGAATATCTCTAAGATTCAAATCCTGTCCACTCAACAACAACTTCATATGCTCTCTTGTTTCCATATTTGAAGCAGTCAACTCTTGGGGCTCATTTTCCTTTCGGCATTGCTGAATATTTCCCAACACTTGCAAACCTTTTCGAATAAAGGATCGATTCAACTTCGGGAAACGCTTCTCCGCAATTTGACACATGTCTTCAAGGTGCAATTGTTCCATAGCAACTCTCGTAAATCTACTAAGAAAACTTCTCGGTAGTTGTTTCCTTCCACTACCATCCACTGCCGGATTCTGAGTAGCAAATAACATGAAATGCGGTTGATCATCTGCATAAAACTCTTTATCCAATTCTGCGACATAAATACTCCTTCGATGATCCAACAAAGAGTTGAGTCCTTCTAAAACTGTTTGAGGAGCTAAATTCAACTCATCTAAAAGAATCCAATAGCCTCTTTGCAGAGCTACAAGCAGGGGACCAGGACGAAAGACAAAAGGTGCATTGCTTTCATCATTCTGATGGTTACTTGGCACATCCATTCCTATCAAATCAGACATTTCGGTATGTTCCGACAAATTGACACGCAAAAGCCGTTGTCCACATAGAGATGCTAAAGCTTGGATCATGCTGGTCTTCCCAATCCCGGGTGGACCTTGCAATAAGATTGGCTTTTTCAACAGCATTGCCCTAACGATTCGAAAAGAATTTCTCCTCATAGTGTCCGTTTCCAAAGAAACAACTGACAAGATATTTTGTTGGTCAGATTCTATATCGGCATTCACTTTGTTCAGCTTTAGATTACCAAAACGATAGGCTTCCTCCTCCTCCCTAATAGGAATGGTTTGCTTTGATAAACCTTGGATATATAGTTCTTGTTGTATTTCTTCAAAGCACATTCTTTCCTGACACTGTTTCAACAAAAGTGTTTTCCACTTCTCTACTAGTCTTTCTAAATGTGACGAATGTGATAAAGAACTCACTTTTAGTCCATCTAAAAGTATCAAATCAAAACCATGAGCATAACTGGAGAATGGATGTTGAAAAATTTCTCTACTTGATTCAATGAAATGCATCCAAGCCCTAATATCTCTCCAAGTGAACATCGAATATAACAGTTGTCTTTCTAAAGGTGGTGACGAATCCATATCATTTAAAACACATATCACCAATTCCTGCATAGGCTTTACATACACATGAAGAGGAGATTGCTTTGACCAAGCATTTGCAATAAAGCCAACGTATTCTTCAACCGCATTGTTAGGAGGTACCCAAATTTCAGTTAATCGACTGCGAAAGGCTATAGAACATTCCTTCTTTCCATAATCACTAGCTGGATTCATTGCTGCCACAAAACAAAATTGACTATGTGCTGTTAAGTTATGGCTGCTTGAGTGGGAAGAATCTTGAGTGGAACAACAACTTTTGTATTCTGTTAGTGTTCTTTCAGGTTCCAATACTGAATTAAGTCTTTCTATTACGGCATCACTTGCCATGTTTACTTCGTCCAATAAAAAATAGTTACCACCTTTCATAGCAGAGACCAGAGGACCATCTACCCATTCAAAAAGCTTGCTGGAATCGCTCTTTCTTCTCGGACGAAAAGCACCGATAAAGTCGGAGACATCCAAGTGTCGATGACAGCTCACAGTCCATAAAAAGTTGTTCTCGTACTCTGCCAATACTTGAATGCAAGTTGTCTTTCCAATCCCAGTTTCTCCTATCAATAACACAGACTCTTGATGCTCAAATGCCCTTTTCACCAAAGCAATCATTCTAAACAAGGAAGGAGTTGGTACTAGATTCAACTTGGCTAGTACTGGCATCCATTTTTCGTTGTTCTGTTCCTCTTCATATAAATGTTCATCCTTCAATACTTCTGAAGAGACTCCTATGCTGTCGATGAGAACTTTTCTTATGAATTCTCTACTTTCAGTGGTTCTACAACGTTCTCCCAGTAAGAAGAATCCCTCTTTTGCCAAACTCTCCTAAATGAAGAAAGGTTCATAACTGTCCAACTTCATTTCGAGTATACAAACCTTGCTATCTGGAGATCGACTTGCCCAACGAAACAAATCTCTTGCACTGATAAGAGACTCTTTACCTAAGAATACTCTTTCTCTAGTTCGTTGAACTTGCAATTCATGCATCACTCTTATCATTCGCTCTGTGAAGGATAAGGGTAGCCTATAACGCCTTTGAAGAATCACATTTAACTCTTCCATCGGCAGTTCACCAACATTCAACTCTATAAATCTTCCTCGAAAAGCTCTGGATAGTTGCTTCCGACCAGCGTATTCTCCCGAAGGATTTTGAGTGGCAAAAAGAACAAAATTTTCGTGCGCACGGAATGTTTGTGCCAATTCTGGTACGTAAATCTCTCTGTTATCATCCAATAAACGATTCAGTGCTTCTAAAAGTTCGTTGGGTGCCAAATTGAGTTCATCCAAAACCTAAAATGCTACTTCAACAGACAATCTGATATAAAAAAAGACTTTTTTCATACCACCCAGAATCCTAAACGGACAGCTTTCAATAAAGGACCTTGTACAAAATGAAAAGAACCCGTATCATCCATTTGAAAGCTTCCCAAATATTCAGATAAATCCATATGCTCATGATGGTTGATTCGAAGGAGAGTTTGTCCAGTTGTTCTAGCCAGATAAGAGACCAAAGATGTCTTTCCAGATGCAGTTGGGCCTTGTAACAACACGGCATATTTAGGTACACCATATTGTAAAGTTCTCAATATATCACGCATCGTATGTTTTACCGAGGGAGTTGTAATGAACTGATTGTCTCCCTCGTCTACTGATACTTTTGAAGACTTAAGTGAGTTTCGATAGTGATCAAGATGAGTTGAATGCTGCGATAATAACCAATAACCTTCCATTTCGATGAAACAATATCCATCGGATAAACTTGTGGGAACTTTCACCAATTCTGACATTTTCTTGTCTCTTAAAGAATTTCCAGCTAAAAATATCTCATCTGCTAGTTTCTCTATAAAGGATCGACATGAAAAAGGTAATGGAGATATAAAAGAAAGTGAAGCTCCTTCATATAAAGCACGCTTATGTCGCATCCATGCACTTCCTACTGACTTCATTCTACAATATATGCATTGAGCAAGATCCAAAGTTCTGCAAAGAGCTCGAAGACTATAGTGTGGTTTACGACCATTGGCATCCACTAAGTATTGATTTTCACATAATTTTCTGCTTGACAAATAGAAACGAACGACATCTTGAACAATGCAATACTCTTCATCTGTACAATCTTCTCTACTTCTTCCAAAATAACGTTTGGATATCAATATTATTAGATCTTCCTCTTCCAAATTTTCATCCACATAAATTTCTGTAAATTTCTTTCGAATACTTAATCTCAGGTCTCTCTTGCCAACATCTGTAGGAGGATTCATCGCTGCAAATATTCGAAAGTTGGGATGTGCCTTCAAATAAGTATTCTCTGCCATATCTCTATTTTCACAACTCGAAATATCATTCAAAACTGGCAGCATACCACGTTCTAACAACATAGATAACTCTTCCAATATTTCAAACGGTGCCAAGTTAATTTCATCCAACAATATCCAATGACCTTCTTTCATGGCACTTATCAAAGGTCCAGCTTGGAATCGAAAGGTTATTGAATTATTATTTCGGGAAGAACCTTCGTTCCATTCCAAAGCATCTTTTCGCTTTCTCTTCTTCAAATGAAAGTTAGATTCTGTGTCTCCATAAACTTTTTTAAACTGAGATAAATATTCACGAAAGATATTCCACTTTTCGTGTCGACTACTTTCCAAAGATGCCAAGGAAACTGATTGTTCAATCTTTTTCCAAGCTCCAACAATCAAACGATAACAACGATCGATATCCTTATTCTTCAAAGCAGAATCCAAATTGTGCAAAAAGGTTTGATTTCTTTCTGTGCCAAAACTTGGACAAAAAGCGTCCAAAAACAACTGACTCAAATGTTGTACGTCTTGAAAGGGATGATGAGGTCGATAAGTACCAATCAAGTCATTCCATTCCGTTTGAGGCGAAAGATTCAAAACCACAACCGAAACTCCCATCATCTTTGCCATTTCTTGAATAGCACTAGTTTTCCCTGTACCCGTCTCTCCACACAATAAGACCTAGAAATAATATAAAACAATTATCCAAAACAAATCCATCGAATGCTAATTACCGGTTCTTTCATTTCAACACAGCGAGCGATACGCTCCCATAAACGTAGAGTATGACTCATCCATGAACAGCCATTAGATACTTTGATAGTTGCTTGAAAGATATTGATATTGTTCTCATTTGTCCATTGAGCCCTTCCAAGCCTTGTTATACCAGTCACTTGGCTAGTTGTGTTCCATTGAGGACGTACAATAATATCGAAATACTTCACTGTATCAAAAGGAATGCTCCAAGCTTCACTTAGGACAGAGTAGACACGGCTCCTTCTATTCTTGTCGGGGTCCCACGAGCATAAGACATCTAAACACTCACAAACAGCCATTTCTGTACTTAAAATTTCTCCTCGTAATTGTAAGTATTCCAAACGTGTACAGATCCGTATCAAATCTGTAAGAGTTGCTGGCCTACATAATCTACTCAAAATCTTTTCACGATATATACGTAACAATTCGAATATTGTTGATGCCAGCCTGTGATGACAAAAACTAAGACAAGGAAAACGACTTTGTAAAATCTTATAAAGACGACCATCTCTTTCATTCTGTAATAGATTGGGTAAATGAATCCGTTTCCACTTCCACGAACCTCCTGGCGGTTCCCAAGAAGACTGACATTCATATGAATGTTGTTCATTGGTATCACAACAGTTATCATCACAAGTACGTACACCAAATAAATGAAATCCAAAGGCCGCCTCCAAAGGTCGCTTTCTACCAGAAACTTCAAGTTTCTCACCAGCTCTCAGTTCAACCAGTCTTTCTATTCCATAACAAGTTGCATTGGATGTATTGTGAAGATCTTCCAAAACTAGCCAATGCCCTCCTTCTATAGCAACTCCAATGGGACCCGCTTTCCAAACAAAGCCTTCACTTTCGGCATGTGGCACAATATTTCCAACAAGTTCATCAAAGTCTTCAAAACCTCTACATCCACTCATACATAAAGTTATCGTTTGAGGCAAGGATAGCTTCTTTTCATCCATATCATGCGAATATATTACTTCCCTTTGTTCCCTAATTTGTGACAATAACTGTAATAATGCACTTTTGCCACTTCCAGCAGGGCCTTCTAACATGACGGGAATGCCCATTGCAATACATTCTAAACAATCATAAATGACAGGAATAAAATGCTCTAATAATACAAAGTTGGATACAACAAAACGCTTATCACCCATCAATATGTCGTTGTTGAAAATGATGTGAGGCGAAATCAAAGGAAAATCACAAACATGCGATAACCCCAACTCTGGAGAACAACGAAACTCTAAGGGACCTGAAACATGTTCACAGTCAACTGTATCAACCACCTTCTCTAATGAAATATTCAATAAAATGCACCTCTTTGTGTATTCCAATAAATCCAATTCTTTCCAAACACTCCAATCACTATTCAATCCTGTCCATCTCTCACTCTCTAAACAGTCAGAATTATTAAACAGCCAACTAAAAACTATCTTTGCCTCTTTATCGCCACTGGCAGCAGCTTGTATAATACATTCCCAAGGAAACAAACCGTTCAAATCATAAGAATTCCAATAATACGCTATCAACGCCAATTCCCTTCGAACTGCACAAATATCTCCCAATGAAGTTTCTGCTCTCCCTGAATACTCTGACCACAAACCTACAAAACAATTTCTTCTAGCCAAATACAAAAATAACTGAAACAATTGTGAATGTTTTCCAGATACTATGGACACTCGAACAAGGACGCCGAAAAGCTTTTGTCTTCTCTTCGACAGCTTGTTTCGACAGTGACGGAACAGGTGCAAAGTTACGGCAAATACTTCAACCAACTCAGGAACTTGTAAACACGATAACGCTTCATAGAAGCTCGTCTTGTCTTTTTCAAATACCTGCAAGAATGACTATCAAAGATGACTTGGCCATCAGACGCTCTATCAGCTATAGCTGTGTTCACTTACTTCAATACTACTAGTTACAAACTCTTTCCAACTCCTGTCTTTTGCTAAATCCTTCAGGTTTTCATTCGCATTATTAGAAACAACGATGGCTTTCAGGTATCTATCATACCGACTAGCCATCATCCGAGCCCAACCACTTGAAATTGCTTCGACGACGTTCATCAAAACTCTTTCAAGTATTGGCACAAAGTAACTTTGAATGCACAAATGTTGCAAATGAAATAAACAACTTTATTCATTTAAACCTTATCCTGAACAGTGTCCATATCACGTTCTTCTGAAGCTGCATCAACAAACTCTTGCATATTGATACGTCCGTCGTGGTCCAAATCTCTTCTTGCTATAAGTTCCTCTGCTTCGTGTTCATATTTGCTCCAATCTGGGGATGCAGAGCGTCTAGAATCTCTAGAAATATTTCTTGAGCACTCTTTTGAGGAAGCCTTTCGCACTTCTCCTCTCTGAAAGGAAGATTGTCGACTGGTACGTCCCCGACTACGTTCACCTCCTACTGCTTCGTTATCATCTCGTTCGTCACGTTCCCTTACAAAGTTGGAGATGTGTTCAGTCAAGTCTTGAGCGTCAATGTAGCCGTCACCATCTCGGTCAAAAGCTTTAAAGCCTTCCTGTAACGCTTCAAATGGAACTCTCCCCTTTCCAAGTCTCCGTCAAAAGCCATCCTAACAAGGAGAGAAACCTACCTTTAAGCGCCTACTCATGGCTTGACAAAAGTTTTCAAAAGTGACCACTCCAACACCTTTTGGGTCTGTGTCTTCTAACAACTCTTCTACTTCCTCCTCCTTACAATTGGGAAACAGGTGTTGAATGTCATCCGCAAAATCTACGCTATCCACATAACCCTTTCCTTCTTGGTCAAATAAGGAAAAAGCTTTTCTAATCCAAGCTTCCACCGAAGCTTCGGTGGTGGCTTCTCGTACAGAACCCGGGGGAGTACTGTTGTTGTTTCGACTACACCTCGTTTCAGAGGTTGTCCTATCTGTGCTTCCGTAGCTAACTACTTGCTCGTGGTGTGACATTCGCTAGTTTATAACTAAGCAAGGCACTACAAAAACGAGCAATGGTTGACAACTGTCCATACCCCCAAGTCTCTTCAAGTCACTCATCTAACAATAAATTTTTTGGGCGTGGCCTTTAGTCCACTCTTAATTATGTCGTCAAGTCTTTTGTATATGTGTTTGTCTCACTTTCTCTCTAAAACATACATAGAAGCATAACCTTGAAAACAACTTATTCCAATTTCCTTAAAGAGCTAATCTATAACAATGAAAGTCGTTTATTCGTTTTTCCACTCATTCTTGCTTTTTCTACTCCTTTCTCACCGGTCTCAAATAGACTATCCATTCACTCGCTGCTCAACTCTATCATCAGTAACTATAACTGTGTATCGGTTTCTTCAGCGTCTTCGAATTGCTCAGAGTCACAGTTGCCCACACTCCAAGGTACGTTCCCATACCATTCTCCGTCGCTACCTTCCTCATCCGTCTTTAAGAAAGCGTTCAATCCATAATGAAAACAAACAGAAGAATACTTACCAAAGGTACAGGAGTCCGCCTAACCAAGTCACAAAAAGTTTCAAATATCTTCTCTACTTGAGAAGATTCCTCTGGTACTATATATATCGTTTCATACTGGTCTTCATCACTCTCTCCTTGTACTTGACAGTATATACTTGGCTTTTCACAATGCTCATCTCGTTGACAAATGGCATGAAGTAGCAAGTCTTTGGCATTTACCCGAAGACTGTTACTTGGGTCTATTTCTGATAACAAACAAAACCAATCCTCTCCAATATTCAATTCTCCCTGAAAACAAGTTTTATTTTCGTCTTTTATTATGATTCGAACGTTTTCAAACTTATGGAGACTTCGTTCCGATAACTTGGGTTCATCACTCATTCCAAGAATAGCTTTTCCTCTCTTATCGATTCTTTTTTGGAACAAGAATATCCCATTTCTATTAATAATAAGCCAACTCAATAGGCTCATGTGCATCATCCTCCATTCGTGCAGCCAAATATTCCTCCGTTCTATCTTCGTGTTCCAGTGCAACTTTAGTTTTCCAAAAGAATATGCTGGCAAACAATATGCCAAGCAAACTACCAGCAACCACATCTGCAGGATGATGACGATTATCCACAATTCTTGAAGCCTGAATCCAATAGTAAGCTACCATTTGACTCAAAAGATAAGCCCACATACACCGACATACAATCCAAAAGCCAACGGTAACAAACCAAAGACTTGCAATACTTGAGCGATCCAAGGAGAAGCTACTTTGGTCGACTTGTGCATCAAATACAAAACGAAATAAAAACAAAGACTCATAGCAGTACTCGCATGACCACTAGGAAAGGACTTGCGACCATTATCAATGCTTCCTTGAAGACCACTCGTACACTGTTGGTCACTCAAGATGACGGAGTGGTTATATTCTGTGGGAGGTATGGCACTGTTACCGAGACAACGAGTAGCAAAGTCAGGTCTCAAGTAACCAACATACCATTTTCCGAATTGCGTAAATGCGCTAGTGAGAAGAAAGGCTGTCGTATAGTTGATAATCTGTCGAATGGCTTGGATAAAGACTTGTGACCCTATTTTGGACCTCTACAGAATAGGATTCTAAATAGAATGGATAAGCAAAGATACTAACCTTTTTAGTAACCCATTCGAGCAATAGCATACAAGGTACAAAACCAGCAAAACCGACGACAGGAATTAACCAAAATGGAACAGTGGAAGAAGAGGCTCTTTGATACCAAACAGTTGCGTCTTCCAAGAAAAACGGTCTGCTCCGTGGTTGACTATTATCTAATATCAAAGCAACGATTTCAATAGCAAGTGCTACGATAAAGACCAACGGATCTATTTTGGCAAAGTTGCTTGCAAACGCCATGTAAAATGCAAAATTCCAAGAGATGTCAACTCGAAATATTTTCTGGTCTTGCAAGAAATGATTCTTCTTCCGATGTATATAAATATATATATCATGACTATTTATCTTCAAAGGAAAGCCAATAATAGCTAAACAATATCCACTCGATCTATTCTTTTATTTGGCCACAAGTCGTTGGGTCCATTTTGGGGTTATTCCGACGAGAAAAGTGGAAAGACTCTGTAATCACTATGGTATCCCCCGTAAAGAACTTGATACTAGTATTTGCTGTAATGACGCTGATGAAGAACGTGAATCCAGAAGATGCTACAGTACTATTTTATACTCGTGCACTGTTTACTCTATATTTTGGTTGCAGCATTGCACTCAACTTTTATATCAAGAGTTTGGTTGAACGTAAGCACGATCAAACCGTGATTGAAGTTCCACCACAACCAGCAGGATTCTTTGGAAGATCTTCTCCCGCTCATGCTACAAGAGTTACGGTTGAACAATATGACTTGGGAGAATTATCCAAAGCTAGGTCTTCCCTTCTTATGAACGCTATCTTTTTGGCTTTTATGCACCTCAAAATGAAGGCCCTAACTCCTGTTGTATTACAGTCAGCAATGGGTATCCTTCGTATTATGGACGATGCTATGGTTGGTAACTGTTCTTCCCTTGTTTCTTGTTACTGAATCCTCACCTTGCTAGTTTCGTATTCACGTATTGAATGAACCTGCACAAGGTGCTTTGGCAAGACCTTTTAAACCAGAACCTAGTCTTCTTTCTATGTTTACAGGTTCAGGTGGAAATAGCAGTCAAACTCAGTCTAGGAACCAAACAGAGGATGATAGCAGCTCTTCCAGTTCGGAAGAGAAAGCAAGACCAACAGAGTCACCTAGTGGAAGTGAAGATGAAGACCACTCTAAAACTACAAACGCCAAAAAATAAAAACTTGCTTTATTTCTGTTGCAGAGGATGGGAGCACTTAATGCAAAGATGAATCGTCAAAGTTGGTTTTCGTTGGAAACCGCCAACTTAAGAATATACCCACAGATAGTATACTGGTGACTACTCCTAATGACCAAATAGAATTCCAGTCACTTCCAAAGTATTGTGCACACATTTTACAGCCTATAAACCCCAAAACCAACGATAAAGACTGTTTCAAGAACCTCATTTTGTCAATAATATCATTTAAAACAAAAAACAAAGAACGAAGACCTAAAATTGCCATTAAATTGGAAACGTATATAACTAGACGATCGTTGGAAACACTTAAAACTGCAGGAATGGAATCCAAAGCAAAAACAACGTCGGATAATTCAATAATCAACAAGACCAATAATAATGGAGTACCAAACCATGCAAGTTGACCCTTTTGATTCCGTCGAACAACAAAGAAAGCATTCGGATCCACATCTTTATCCCTCGTCAACGGTATCCATCCAGTAGCAATACGATATATCTTATTGTCTTCCATTTTGGATTGGCTTTCTTCCCGAGAAAACAAAAGCTGAAATGATGAATAAAGTAAGAATCCACCAAACACGAGTGACATGAAATGAAAATGTTGTAAAAGTTCAGCACCAGACCAGATCATCAATCCTCTCATGAAAGTAGCTCCTAAAATACCCCAAAATAAAATACGGTCTTGAGACTCTCTAGGGACAGTAAAGTATTGAAATATCAACAGAAATACGAACAGATTGTCAACTGATAAGCTTTCCTCGATGATATATGCGGTAAGATATTCTACAGCAGTTTGGGTACTTAAAGCAGTATATAGCACAACTGCAAGAGCCAAAGATAACGAAACAAATAAAGCAACTCTTTTCAAATCGTCCTTTTCTCTGTTGATGTTGACAAGAGGAGCATTCTTTTCTTGTTTTCTGTTACCAACTTTAGGTTGTATGATGGACTCGTTTTCATTCAAAAGCTCCTTTTTGGAATCCTGAGTGGATGCATGTTTGCCAACTATTCCCACTCTAATAATATGTGAAGACTTCCACCAAGGCTTAGCATAGTTACCACTGCAATGCCTGGTATATACAAACTTTTGACGTCGATGAAAAAGACACGATAGATAAGGGCTACTGACGATGAAGCTAATACATTTCTTCATACAAACAAAATACATACTATTCAGTTCCAAACAGACCTAAACTCTCACCACAAAATCCTCATCTCTATGGAAATCCATCGTTACATTTTATTCACGCAATAATCTGTAAGCTATTCGATCCAAAATAAAAGCTACAACAGTATCCCATACAATCAACTGCAAAGTGACCATTCTGATTTCTCTATTAGGAAACTTGACAAGCTCCAGTGCTTCATTCAATTCCAAGTTCACTTCAGCAGCAGCTAATATGACAGCAACAAATGTACCGGCTAAGGATATCCACAAGCTACGTCTTTGAAAAAGTCCTTCCATGAATGGATAGCCACGATAGTTGATGGCAAATATGGCAACTTGTTGAGCAGTAGAAACTAAAAATACCATCGTATTCACTATATTGGGACTAAATGTATCATCAACGTTGACAACAAAGTCCACGGGAAGTTGCTTCTTTCCAAAATAAGTAGCCAATACCAATGCTGCTGTATGTATCATAAACTGTCCCATCATCGAAGTAAACATATAGGCTGAAAATATCGAACTGGGAGGTCTTTCTTTAGATAACTTCTTTAGAGGCTTCGACCTCGAAATCAAAAAGAATACTATAGCAAATAGAAAACCTGTAGTTGACATTTGTTTGTCTCCAAACTTCACGCCTTGTAAGAGCAACACAGAAAGACTGTAAGCAGAGACTAGACAATTCAAAGCCATAATTTGATACATCTGCATAGTTGTTGCTAAAGTACAGCGGCCTTGTCTGACAATGGAAAGACAAGAATCAATGGTCATGTTCTTAGAAGTAAAAGGTGAAGCAATGGATGCATCTCCTAACTTCACTAGAGGAACTTCATCTTCTCCACTCTCTTGTTGCATTGATTCTAACTTCTTCAACCAATCCGATTGATTACTTCCCAAATCAGATATCCCTCCAGAACCTT